ACATGGCGCTGCGTTTCGGAAATCATTCTTTTCAAAAGGCCAGACCAAAAACCTGTTCCAAATAGGGATGGTTTACTTTTATTTACAACAATTGTATACGTCGCCATCTGCTGTTCTTCCTGTGTAACTACACATTATCATGTTGCTTTTTGAATACAACAGTAATAACATGGTGCACAGTTTTTGTCAACTTAAAAGCGAAAGGAAAAGTAACATCGTTCCTCTGTATCTTTAGTACTTTGGCAAGGATGGCAAGAAAAAGTGAAAATGCTGACTAATTGACCACAGCTTCCATGTTCAGTCCAGTATGGGCAAAATGCCCAGGCAGCATTACCAACAATACTTTTTGCAAATCAGCAATAAATCTTAAACGATTCGAAATCTAATTTAAACAATTCAAATGGACACAAGTACAGGCCAAATTTGAGCTTAAGCTGGGCCTCCTTAGCTTGGTCTTTTTGTTTTTAGCTATTTGACACACTTTTTGTTCAATTTTATAGACAACTGAACGGCATATGGGGACAGAAACCACACAAGCAAGTCTATTTGGGATGCAAGTGTGATGATTTAGGCATGCAGTTAGCATGATGCTAATTGATAGGGTATAAACTTCCATTACTAGCTACATTAGCACCGTAGCACCAGCGCAAAAGTAAAGACATAAACTACAGACGTGTATTGGTTGGTTGATTACATGTGGAGTGGAAAACTGTGTAAATTAGATATTTCTCCAAACACATGGATTCCTATGGGAATTCGTAGTGTTGTTAGCACCAAGCTAGCAGTGTTGTACAATCACATTGGATGCCAATTCTAGCTTAAACACAGGTATGTGAAGCTTGGCATACAGTTAACCTATAATTTATTCTATACAGTTTTACTATTCTGGCAAGATCTGAATTTGAAGCCCGTCGTCTCTCAACATTGTCAAATCTTTGGTTGAACCAGCCTGTTAGTCTATTAGCTACCTGCTAACTTCATCTAGTAAGAGCAGAATATAGTTGTTATGGAGTATATAAAGTACAAACCAGTTAAAGAGAGCTCACAGCAGCAACCATGGATGTTCAAATAGCAGTTTTTCACTTGGCTGCATTTTGTAGACAAGGATTTCAGAAGTAACAACCTTTTTCACATAGAGAATCTGTGTGGTGTGGGTGGAATTTGAGTAGACAGTCTACTTACTCTCTATTGTCTCTCCAGCATCCCCAGATCCAGAAGGAGTCTCAGTACATCAAGTACCTGTGCTGTGATGACCACTGGACCATGACCTTGTGGGTGACGGGAATCCGTATTGCTAAGGTGAACAAAATGCAGCGATACTCTTCGTCTGTTCCTAGAATACTTTAATATACTCAGAACTGCATGGGTTTTAGAACAAGTGGACGACCGTATAAGGCAGTGTACTGTAGAAAACGATATCTCGGCAAGTGAACACTTCTTAATTCAAGTCAATATATCTAATATTTTCTCATTATGAGATTGCTGTAAGAACAATATAAGATCATTCAACTTATTTCTAGACATTTACTAGTTTTAAGTCATTTTAGCTCATGAAAGTGTCTTATTCCAATAGCAGATCATTTCGCTTGTGTGAAGAAATAATGGTTGAAACAAACAAAATGATCTGCTAATAGAATAGACAGATAGATAGATCACTTTATTAATCCCAGAGGGAAAGTCGTCTATTACAGCAGCACAAAGTATAGTGAAGAGCAATGCCATACACTATTTACAGATGCATAATAATAAGATGATATATAATAAAATATACTAAAACAACCATAAAAATGTAATGTGCAGTACAAAAAAGTAAGTAAAATCGCATAAATATTATGCAGGGGACATTGCAGTGGTGCATGTCCCATCCAGTGAATGAACCGAGTGACTATGCACTGTAAACGATATGTCAACAGTTGTGCAATATGCATGGGTGTATAAACAAAGTGGCAGTGCAATATGCAATATGTATGGATGTAAAAGGCAGTGCACTGTAAAAAATGCAAAAAAATAAAACTCCACTTGATAAAATTACTTTAAACAAATCTAGAAACAGGTTTAATAATTTTATAATATTTGTGCAACAGTCTCATAATGAGAATTATTAACTATATTGAGATTTGAGATGTTTTCACTTGCCAAAACAATTTTTCCAAGTCTAGTCTTTCATGGGTTCAAATGTACAATTAATCACTGGGCACACAAACACAGCACTAAATCACATAACAGTATCCTACAGCACTTGTCTCATCTCAAACTGGACCAAAGGACCAAAATTTGGCTAATGGTCTTTGAGGCCTGAATCAGAGACCTCTGGTTAAAAAATGACCCTCTATTCAAAAATAAACCATGGTGTGTTTTTGTTTCCCCACCTCCAGTACGGCAAAATGTTGTATGAGAACTATAAGAATGCAGACAGAAAAAGTTCATCACTGTCTTCAGTTTGGACCAACCGGAACCTACAGCCAAGTCCATCAACCTCCAACGCCTCCACCCCTTCCCCAACACCAAAAGGTACCCAAAGCTATTAATGCAGACATGCATAGTGAGGCTATACGTAACTTAAAATGATATAAATGTAAAGGAAATGTAAAAACAAACATTTTCTTTTTCCTTTTTCAGCCAAAGCTGCCAACGGACATGCTCCTCAGCATCGCTCAGAGCCAGTGGCCAAGGTAAGCCTCCTATATCTGTTAAGTAACTGCTGACTTTGCAGCAAGTAAACATACCATACATTAACACATTTACCTGATGACCAGTTATGACGGTCACTGTTTATGACATTAACCCTTAAATACATACTTTGAGTAGCTCGCAAACGGTGACCTCATTTCCACCCCTCATTTCAGATAAGTGATAAACAAAATATCAAAATATGAACATTTGTTTGGCTTTTAATAAAAATCTTTTGACTGTTTTGCACCATCATGACAGATGGAAGGTCAATTTATACTGGATATTAAAAGTGTAATGATTCATTTTGAGAAAAAAAAATGTAAACAATGTGTAGAAATTTAAAACTGTATCGCCGAAACAATTCTCATTCTCTTCTGAGGGTCCCTCATTCACCGTCTATTTAATGTCAATTATCAAAGCTATGCGCCTAGGTGGATCCTAGATCCCAGAGTTGTTTAGTGTGGAGGGGGAGGGGCTTATGTTTGCACACATCCACTCAAATAAGCTTTTAATGATCAATTATAAATTCTATGAGTTGCAATTTTTGGGCTTATTTTGCACAGCAGGCATTTAAAAAATTCTATTTGAGAACTTTTATTTATCTAAGGCAGATCAATGTGTGTAGTTTATATAATAAAGACACTTTAAACATCCAAAATATCAAACAAAATTTAAAATGAGTCTCAACTTTGGAATTGTTTACCAATTTAATAACTCCAATTATTTCTTTAACGGTTAATTGAGATTTTAAGATTTTACTATCTTCCTACTTTTTGCACTTTTTCACCATTTTTTTTCCACATTATGACTTTTAACGCAGTAATAAGGCACTGGTTGGAAAAAAATTGCAAGCCCTTGCAAATATTGAGAAGGTTGGTCGAATTTGCACAAATTTATGATTGCAATATCCTGGAATGACTGTCAATAGTTCTAATATTTCTCATTCTGAGAATGTTGTAAGAATATTACCAGATCATTTCACTTATTGCTGGAAATGTTGTACTTATTTTAAGTACTTTTATTAGAGAAATTGTCTTATTTTACTTATGGCAGAGTAAAATAATCTTGCTTGGATTTGGATCTTAATTATTTCAAAGCATAATGCAAATAATTTTCTTCCAAGTGATCTGCCAACAGAATAAGAACATTTCCCTATATACAATTACTTGAACAGGACTTTTTTAAAAATAAAATTAAATTTCATAAAAATTATAGTATAGTAGTCTTAATGAAAAATATTAGATATATTGACTAAACATCGGAGGATCAATTGTGAAAAACAAAAAAAACTGTACTGGTCAGTACGCTGCCATTATTAAATGCGGAAGGGTGATTTTTCTCTGTGAAACTGACTCATGTCACTGATACAATTGCATGTGATTTCTTTTTTTAAAGGGCCCCAGCAACCAGTCATCTTTTCCACCACCTCCGCCTCCAGTGGAGATCCTGCCCCCTCCCCCTCCTGACCCTACACTTCCTCCTCCACCCCCACCTCCACCTGCCTTCGCCATGCCTGTGAAGAAAGAGCCAAATCCACCTCGCTCCGCCCCTCAGCACTCACAACCGGCCTTCCCTCCTCCTCCTCCGATGGACTTCCCGCCTCCTCCAGCTCCGAGCGACGACACGGAGCTGCCTCCTGACTTCCTGCCCCCACCTCCTCCAGGTATGGGGGGCTTTATGAGTGGAGACCTTCCTCCACCACCTCCAGATCCATCCCATCCTCCTCTTCCACCTCCACCAGCTCCCTTCAACCCACCAGTGGCAGCAGGTGGAGATCTGCCTCCACCCCCTCCGCCTCCGCCACCTCCACCTGCCTCTGGTGCACTCCATCCAACCCCCACACAGAAGAGAGTCGGCCCTCCACCTCCAAAGAGGACTACACCAGCTCTATCGGCGCCCTCTGGTGGCGATTTCATGTCAGAACTGCAGAAAGCCATGCAGAAAAAGCGTGGAGGGCAAGGACAATGACCTGGTCAACTGTTTTTGGGAAGAGCAGTGTGACTTTTATAGGCTATTTTTTTTGGACAGGACAACTGATCTAGTAAACAGCTGGTGCGGTCGGGAGACCACCAGGTTAAAGTTTTGCAGCTGCCTCTTGTTCATAATAAATGCTATGTATGCTGCAAATAAGTGTATCCTTTTCTCTGAACCAGTTCTACACTGTATCAACTATTATTTTGGTGGACAAGTAGCTGAAACAGCGGAAAGCAAGGTTGAAATATTATAGTAAATGTGTAATAAAATGCTCTTTTGAAAGGACAAGGAAGAATCATCGAGGCACATTTCTGAATACATTTTATTTGCATTAAAAATGATTCTTTTATTACAATAAATAATTACAACTGGATTTAACTGTGCACAAATCTAGATCTCTACAGCCCTGCTCTCTGAAAGCTAGACTACTGTTAATTACTACAATGAATGAGGACCTAAAGTAAACTCTGCAGGACGGTACAGTCAAAGTCTTTGTAGTTAAGTCTGTTCACTCTATGGCTTCTGGGCAGTTATTTCCAGTCCCATAATATCAAGGTCCTATGTACTATGTGAGGAATAGACCTACAAACCCCAAACTGACAGCCAAGCTCAGATTTAAAAAAAAATATCACTGGCCAAATCTGACAAAAATGAGATTAATAAGTTGTCACCTTTGGCTTGAGTAACACAAAACATGTATTTTTCAGCTGTTCAAAGGTTCGTATCTCCACAAAACAGGACATAATTTGAGAACATTCTTAATGGCCTTTTCTATGGTTTCAACCTTCCTTATGGTCATTTTCTACAGTTTCAGTCTTCTTTACGTCTGTTTCTATAATTTCAGTGTTCTTCATGGCTGTTTCTATAGCTTCACTGTTCTTTACAGCTGTTTCTATGGTTTCAATCTTATTTATGACTGTTTCTATGATTCCGACGTTCCTTATGGCTGTTTCTACGGTTTCAACTTTCTTTACGGCTGTTCCGGTGGTTTCATCCTTTTTTGCATTTGTTTCTATGGTTTCAGCCTTCCTCACTGCTGTTTCTATGATTTCAACCTTCTTTATAGCTCTTTCTATAGTGTCAGTGTTCTTTACGGCTGTTTCACACGAAGGTATCAACCTTCTTTAGGTCTGTTTCTATAGTTTCAGTGTTCTTCATGGTGTTACTATGGTTTTAACCTTATTTTACGACTGTTTCTGTGGTTTCAACATTCCATATAGGTGTTGCTACAGATTAAGCGTTTTTTTGGACTGGTTGTGGTCTATTTTACGGCTGTTTCTATGGATTCAACTTTCTTTACAGATGTTTGTATGGTTTCAGCTTTCCTTATGTCTAGCATTACAGTCGTCTTTATGACTGTTTCTATGGTTTCAACCTTCTTTCCAGCTGATCCTATGGTTTTAACCTTCTCTATGACTGCTTCTATGATTTTAGTCTTCTGTACAGCCATTTCTACAGTTTCAGTGTTCTTTACGGCTGTTTTTACGGTTTCAACCTTATTTATGACTGTTTCTATGGTTCCAACATTCCCTATGGCTGTTTCTACAGATTCAATGCTTTTTTGACCATTTCTATAGTTCAATCCTTCCTTATGGCTGTTTCTATGATTTCAAGCTTCCTTATGGCTCTTTCTATAGTTTCAGGGATCTTAACAGCTGTTTCAATGGTTTCAACCTTCTCAACATGTTTCTATAGTTTCCGAGTTCTTAATGGTGTTTCTATGGTTTCAAGAGTCCTTACGGCTGTTTCTACAGATTAAGTGCTTTTTTGGACTGTTTCTATGATGTAGTCCTGCTTTATTGCTTTTATATGGTTGTATTGGTTCTATTTCATGACTGTTTCTATGGATCCAACTTTCTTTACAGTTGTTTATATGGTTTCAGCTTTCCTTATGACTGTCTCTAGCATTTCAGTCTTCTTTACAGCTGTTCCTATGGTTTCAACCTTCTTTACGGCTGCTACTATGATTTTAGTCTTCTTTACGGATGTTTCTTTGGACTTAACTTTCCTTTGAGCTGTTTATACAGTTTCAACTTTCCTTACAAATGTTTCAGCAATCTTTACAGCTGTTTCTGTTTTAATCCGATAATATCTTGGTATAAGGAAACTGGTAAGATTAGTCAGTAAGGACCAGTAAGATGTCGTAAGAACATCTGCTCTTGTGTCAATGTAAGTATATGACTGGAAGGTGGGATGTCCCATAACACCAGTGCCACATTGAGCATCATGAGCAACTCTATTTAAACTACAACCAGAGAACTGTGTCTTCCTCTTATAAAAAGTCTAGTAAAGCTCTTTAGCAGCACTAGATGATTAGTGTGTGTGTAGTAGGATAGGTCAGGAAGAACAGCTGACCCTCAGTTGTGAAGCCCATGCTGGAGGTCTGCTGGAGTATCCTGCACTCTCTGCCCGCTCCTGCTTCACGAAGGGCTCAGTCAGAATCTGCTGCAACAGCTCCACCTATAGGCCAAGTAGAAAGTGGCATTTTTAGAGACCAAAGAAGCATTTTATCCAGTGTCTTTTGCTGCAGATCTTTGTGATATTTATTTTTTTTATTATGTAAAAATGATGAGGAAACTCATGTAATGTTAGTGTACAAAACTGTTTACTTCGACCATAATTTCTGTTCTCTATATCCCATTCAATATAGTGTCCCTGATCGTCTACTGTACACTCTCAAAATAAAGGTATGAAACTGTCACTGGGGCAGTACCCCTCTTGTCACTGGGGTGGGACCCTCAAAGGGGCATCTCAGTACCTTAAGTCAGGGAACATAATTGTACCATAATCCATTAATTATAATAATTATGTTTAATGATTATGATATTTTCTAAGCTGTACTGACTCCACACACCCCGTCTCGTCTCCAGGCTTTTATTTTACTGTTCTGTTTTAAAACATTCGGTTATGAAAAGGTACAAATACGAACTTTTCACCTGGAAAAACTTACTTAAGGTTCACAATCAGACCTTAAAACCACTGTTGTATCTTAGAGGGAACAGTTACATTGTTTGTACCTTGATGAACGAAAAATGTACCTGAACAGAACCTTTATTTCTAACAGTGTAAAGAACAGTGATTTGAGGAGGATCATGAACATAGTGCATATGTACCAATTTGGCATGTATCGTTAAGCATCACTGAACTTCACAAATTAAATAAGACAAGATTATTTACTTTGCAAGCAGCAGGACACAGCAAAAAGAGATTTTTTCAGGGCTAGATTTGAGCAACAGTTCCTCACCTCAGAGAAGTCGTTTTTCTCTGCTTTCATAATAGCAGACTCTGCCATCCAGTTCCGTAACACGTATCGTGGATTAACAGCTAGATTTCACCAACACAGATTACAAAATACAAAGACAAATTACGTAAAAAGGAAATGGCTTATGAAGAAACAAGGTCATGCAGAATCGGCCTGTTGAAAACAATACTTGAAGTTTACATGTATTTTAGTGCTTTATTATCACAGTGATCACAGCATACCTCTCATCCTGCGCTGTCGATGTTCATCTGAATCACCACGCTGACTGTAAGAGGGAAATTTGCTTAAGATCATGAGGAAAAAACTCAAACACAGAATGAATGGACGTTATAAAAGATGCAACATTACCTTCGAAGCCTCTGCAAATACAAACTGACCCAGTCTGAGAAATACTCATGAGAGGAAAGGTCCCAGAGAGCCCACATCGCCTGTGAGAAAATACACACATTGGACAGAAGTATTTAGGTAAACCAATGATTAAATTAACCAATGACCAGATGACCACTGTTGGAAGACTATCAGAAGAACAAATGAGAAATAGATCTATGAAAACTAGTGACGAGAGTTAGAGGTGTATCAAAATGTGAAAATGAGAATTACATTAATAAAACCAGTGACCACTGTTAGAAGCATATCAGGATGACATGTTAGTAAGAACACGTGAAGATCTTGGTATAGTGGGAGGCAGATGAACATGTCTAAGATCGCATAATTTTAGTTTGTAGTTCAAGTTCAAGTTAGTAGTTAGTCTGTGCAGGCACCAAAAATCATCAGGATGGTATATATATATATATATATATATATATATATATGTGTGATTGTGATTAAATGCTAAATTGTCTTTTCTTGACCAATGTATGCAACACCTAAATAATCTGATTAGCTATCCTAGCTGTGTTTACTTAGCAGCTAATACTGGTTGTACTGACTTGAAATGACATAGTACTGTTATGTGTAGAGGTAATCATGTGTAGAGGTTCAGCTATATTGTCTCTTCAGAGTGACATATTTTCAATATTTTCAACTTTCAATCTCCATATTTTCAACAAGGATACATGGTGTCATTCTTATAAAGCACCAACAGCAACTTGAGTATTAACAGTGCCCCCTAGTGGGAAACCTTCAGCCTGCTGTAAGTGAGTGAGTTACACACATGATAATAACAGCGGCAGCTACACAGCTAACAACTAAAAAACATTACTGGTGCTGCCCTCTAAATGTCTTATAGCACCAAATTAGAAATGAGAACTTCACGTGTTTTAATAAGACCCATTACCTGTCACAATAATTGCAATTACATTTTCTTTTATTTACACCAGCTGTTCTTTTTGTTGTGTGATGATGAATGGATCAAACAGACACAGCCCAAAAAGTCCTAGAATAAAGTCTTGTTATATTACTGTTCATTACAGCTCAGAACATTTCCACAATCATTCCATGACCATTTTGTTACAATAGAGGCAATATGTCTCAAAACTAGTCATACACTTAAACTTGCTGGATTTTGTGGATAATGATATGGAGTGCAAGCATATTTTCAACAAGGATACACAGTGTCAAAGATGCTAAGCATCAGTCTTATAAAGCACCCACAGCTATTTGAGTGCTAACAGTGTTCCCAAATGGAAATCCTTCAGCCTGCTGTGAGTGAGTGAGTTACAAGCCAGGTCCATGAGATGCTTTGCATCTAAAAATTTAAAGGGGCATTCCAGCCCAAAACTATAATGTTATTTATTATGTTATGAAGTGTTCTGCAGCTCAGCATTATATCCCTCCATGTAACTGGATCGACAGGGCGCAAAATTTTATTACTATGTTTTCATTCATCACCTATCTCTCACTACAGTAACTAGTATGCCTTATGCAAATGTGTCAAATATCCATTGGGAATATTTGTAAATATATAAGCAAGCCAGCATTATCCTTTCAAAAAGCCCACCCCCCCAAAAAAACAATCCAAAGCAAGAGTTCTTCCAAAGTTCCTCCCACCTACAATTAGAGCTGGGCGATATGGCCAAAAATCTTATCACGATAAAAAATTTCATATTGTTCGATATCGATACATATTGTGATAAATGTCAGATCATTATTTGAAGGCTGATTTTTGTTTCTGAGTGGTCAGTTGCTGTTTTAAACTATCCTTAATGGTCAGAACATGACAATCACTTGCTAAACAGTGGAACATGGATGGATCACACTGCCTCACTGCCATCACTCCTACCACATCCATATCAGAGCATATCACAGTATTCAAACACCAGCTAGCAGACGACTGGATTTCTCTATTCTATCATTGTAGTTTGAGGGGTGAGCCGCAATATATCTGACGCTCGCTGTGTAAAAGCATTGACTACAGTGTGAATATCGCACCAGACAAACAGAGTCCTCCTTTTAGGTATGTTTAAATTGAAATCAGTGCTTTTTTGTCTTGTTTGATCTACAGTAACAACAAGTTACCGTGTTGTGCGAGTGACGGAGCGCTGCTTCAAGTTAGCCAACTGCTAAAATCAGCTAGCCAGGGAAGCTAGCGTTCTCTGTGACTGCGCTGTGGTTGTGAGGAGCAGACATGATTTAACGCTGCTAAAGCTTGTTAGGATGTACAGAAAGAGGTGAGTTCACTGTAGGTCAGTACAGTTACACCGCTTATCTCGTCACTCACACTTGGTCACAGGAGAACAGATTGCCGATCGCTCCACTCAAACGGGGAATATATAACTCCACGTTTCAGACGTTGCTAAAGTATATTTGGCAACTCATTTTACTCGTCACCCCCCAATCATGTCGAAAAACTACAATATGTGTCATCAGAAAGGGGATTTCTTAGTCTTTAAACCAGAAATCGCACTCCAGAGACCACTGTGGAACCACTGTAGAAGGGTAGCCATGTTTCCAACAGATGTAACGATGGTTACATTTTCCAGTTTGGCCCAGCTTGTTCCTTTAAAAATTGTGCATATACTAAGACAGTCAGTCGACCAAGAGGTCTAGTTAGTGTTCATTCATATGTAGCTGAGAGAAGAAAGCAGAACCTGAGTGATGGAGTTGTTCTGGAGCTGAAGTAGAGTCACTTCACTCAGCTGCCTGAAGGTCATGGTGAAATCTGCACCTGTGTCCTCCATTAGCTTAGAGCCCAGAGCAAGAGAAATATACAACAAATCAGAAGAGGTCAAATAAAGTAAATGAGTATAGCATGTAAACCACTGGAATAGAGGAACATTAACAGCACAGATGGCATATCATATCATATCATATCATATCATATCATAGCGCTCAAAGCATAGCAACAACATTTATTATTTCACTTCACAAACCTTTAGCAGAAATGCGATCAGATATGCACCATCATCTTCATCTCCAAGGAGGCCTAACTTTCCTTTGAACAGCTCATGAAACCTGGAAAAAGAAGTACATTAAACAATTTCAGAACACGAACACAGAGAACACAGGAATAATGTGGTGAAAAAACACATTTACACAGTTATCTGTCGCCCAAATGTAGTCAAAATTTGTTTGTTTTTATTTTTATACAGGTACCAGGCTACGAGGCTAATGTAGCTAACAAGTAATGGATGCTCATATCAGAGCCGGTTTATGAGGAGCCTGGCCACTTCCTATTCCCCCCGTTATATCAAAACCAGCACTGCTAAACAGCAGAGGGTGCCTGCGAGTGAGTCCTCAATGAATGGGAGTAAATGGAGCTCAATGGCTAAAAACGAAAAGTTAAAATAGTTTCTAATCACTCGCCCAGAACTTTCCTTTCATTTTAGAGAGTAGAAGGATGAGTTTCACTAAAAAAACAAAGAAATCTTACTTATATGTTTCCTTTTTTCTACAGCAAACGGGTTTTGGGCAGCAGGAGGCGGGCATTAGTGCTAGAGCGTGATGATTGATTGGCGAGCGGAGCAGCTCATTGGCTGTTCGCTCTCACAGACGTCATGGACATACATGAGGCGCCGTTTTAAACCCCTATAACTCGAGTTTAAAAGCTCTTAAAAATATAACAGCCGTGTTAAAGTGTTTTATGCTGTTCTGTGTTCAGGAAATGATCGAATTCTTTTACATTAAAAATGTTTAAACATTTATAAACTATGATTTTGCTCAAATGCTCCATTTCAACCCATTCATTTTGGACTCGCTCGGGAGCGCCCTCTAGCGTTTGAGAAACCCGGAAGACATTGCAGAGTGGGAATTCTCCTCTCTACAAGTTCAAGCTCTGGCTCATGCCTCACCAGTTTACTGTGCTGTCTGCAGGCCTAAATCATCACACACTCGCCTCAAACCGTATTGAGCTGTTAGTAAACTTAAACAATTAAACAGTAAATTTAAGCTTCAGCATGGAAGCTGATACTGTTTATAGCTATACAACACCTCCATTTTTAGATAAAAGTATTTGTTAACCAAATTAGCCACACAGCTCGTGTTAAACTTACACAAACTTCAGACACCAAACATGTCTTGGCTGACTGACTACATTCAGGGTAAATTTGTGTACATTTGTTCTTTGTCTAAGTTAAATTACAGCTTTAAGATAATATTTCACCCTAATGTGCTAGCGTAGCTAATTATCTATCTCCTTTGCTAAAAATTAGCTCTGTGTAGCTACTAGCTCACATTTATCATCTGAAATGTTATTCTAGATATTCAATAGCAACAAAGCACTACTTTAACATATACAGCAACCAATAAAACAGTCTATGAATCACATACAAACCCAGATTCACCTTCTGTGGTAGATCTGTGGATATTCCCTCAGTATTTGTTCAGCCCTGAGTGACATCAGACACAACACTGAGTAACTTCATTCATTCACTTGACAAAGATGAACAAAAAACAGAAGCCAGGTTTCCATCCAGCTTAAACAAACTGAATAACTAAAATGCTGTTTGTTGTTCAGAGTGATTTGATGTCAAATACTCGGTTCTAGAGAAACCTGTTCACAGTGCTGGTGATGGGAATCAGACATCTGAGGAGTTAAATGCCCTTGTAGAAAAAATAATATCTAAAGAAAACAAATTTTTTTTCTTCAGATTTATCACTATTTTATTATCAGCAACATTACATATAAAATTCAGAAGACAGGTTTTGTATAGTAAATAAAATGGCTATATTTGTGTTGTAGACAATCACCTGGTTCCCACCACCACCACTGTAAAGACGTCTGAGTCTGTAAGTTTCTCTACCATGAACCATTTCACACCAAACCACTCTGAGCTATCCAGCTCAAGTGAGTGTACAACCTTCTGTGCAATTTTATTTATTTATTTTTGCCAATTTTATTCAATATTTGCAGTCTTTTTTGTTGCTGTCGGGACAAAACCTGGTGATTCCATTTTTTTGTCGTTTTTCAGTTTTTGACATAATTTGAAAGTGTCTGTTGCTCTTTACATTGTTTGTGAATTTCATGATGAATGGACCAAAAGAAACGGCCCAAAATGATATGGAAAACATTCTGGTTCCATTGACTTACATTAAAAGTAAAGAAGTTTTTTTCCTTCTCCTATAAAGTTACTATTTTGGAGAAACAAGGTTTTGTTCTGGCAACAGCGATATGTAGATGGAAAGCCAGCTAGTAAGGAGATGGAGCTAACAGACTTACTGTTCTCTCTGATCTGGTGACAGCATCGGATGAAGAGCTTCTAGAAGCTTCTGGAGATTAAACAGGCCCGCGTTAGCTTGGGCTCCTATACTGTACCGGCCTTCATCATCAGACGAGTTGGGCACAAAGTCTACATTCATGAAACAAATTTCAAGAGCTTAAAAAAAAGCACTGAAAATGTAGGAAAGAAAACATTTTTAAGCTTTAAAGTTTAGATTTTTATATGAAATGATGGGAAATCATAATCAAGAACAAAGAACATAATCAAAACTGCATGATGATAAGGAGGGTAGGACAGGATAAACAAACAAATTTACAAACAAACAAAGGATAAAAGGTTAAGAAATCACAGACTTACTCGGGTTATACGACTCCATAAATCCAAAAGGGCCATAATCAATGGTGATGGACAAAAGACTGAAGTTGTCCGTGTTGCACACTCCTAGAATTAATCAAATTATCAATATGATCTGTGAATGATAAACTGTAAGACACGTTTTGATAAATTTACCCACCATGCGCAAAACCAACAGACATCCACTTGGCGATCATGTGTGCTGTTTCATTCACCACACATGAGAAAAAGGCCTGAACCAAAAACAAACAAACACAATAATAAAAACTATTAGTCACAAAAGTTAGAAATATGTTTAAAGTTAGAGATATGTTTTTTCATTTTTTTGACATAAATCCATTATTCCCACTGTATTTCGATACTTGAAAATAAAAAAAATGATCAATCAAATCTTGCGTGATGAACAGATTTTACTGCTTACCACATACTTATTAGGGTCATTTGGTTTGACAGCTGCAAAATGCTGTGCAATTACAAAGTTTAGCAGCGTCCTGTAGAGCACAAATAAACACAAAGACATAAAAATCAACAGCTGTGAATAAAGAAGTGACAGATTTTATTCAAAGTAGAAACTTCTAATTTACAATAAACTCATTTTTATTATGAAATTACAATGGGTAAGAGGGATTATCTGATATATTTCAAATGTAAATAAATTCTTTATTAGCACAAATTTCCTCAGACAAAATTCGTTTTTCACAACAGGGTTTTGCTAATGCACATACAACAACATCAAAAAATGCCACACCTCAGAATATCCAACTCTCCAGCTTTGGCTAAAATCTCCAGAGAACCAATCCGGAACCATGACGGAGCCAGACGAAGCACAACAGCTCCTACAGAAACACAGTGTTATTTAAACTCCACTGTGTTATTTAATTTCCCAGGAACTTCAGAACTACAGGCTTTACGAGAATCAGTGCATATCTGATCAAATGTATTTAGCATATATGGAACCTCAATATACACACACTACAGTTCAGAAGTTTGGAATCACTTGCTATATTTATACAGGGCTCATTTTACAGGGCTGTATAAAAGCAACAGTTAAATAAATAAAGTAATAAATTAATAAACTGGGCCGGGAACATTTAATATGTTTTAATGTTAGCAGTTCCTTTGGCCAAATTATAGTTCCTTAACAAGCAGCTTGTTGCTACGTCAGAGTAACGAGCTCTGCTCACTCGCTGCACAGTCTGCTGTAAGCCTCGAGTTCTGAAGTACAGACTGAGCCATAAAACTGATGCAATATCAAGTTTAGCTCAGTTTTGTCAGTATTTTGCGGTAACACACACCCTCTCATGTTCTATTGCTTAAGTAAACACTTCGGGTTCCTGACCCACCTCTCTCTCTCTTCACACTGCCGTTATAAAACTGATCCCTCCACACGGGCTCCTCACTCACTACGAGGCTTTCAGAAACAAAGACATTACAAAAAAAAAAAGAATCATTGTGAAATCATTGTGACGCCTTCCACTCATACCTGCAGTCTGACACGTGCACACAAATGTAAGTCTGGGGCTGGGCGATACGGCAAAATTATTATATCACGATACTTCAAGACATTTTCACACTACACAATAAGCATCACAATATTTTGTTTTTTTCTGAGATTTAATGAGGAACACATAAAACAGAACCTGTTTTGGCAAATATATAAAAATACAATAATAATAATAATAACAGTAATGCTAATAATAATAATAAAAACTTACGACAATGATTTTTACACAATGTTTCACAAACCGTATTAAATGTAATTAAACAGCAATATTTATGCTCACTTTCTAATAAAACATGTAGTCAGTGTACTTCAATACTGACATCATCAATATGCTCAGAAAAGCGTATTGTGACATAATTTATGAAGATAATGATAAAACATCATCATACTGGCCACCCCTACTGATCTCACACGCATCATTTACTGTATCACAGTGATGATTTTACATGTTCGACTAAAATGAAAGTTTATTAATGTTATTAATGTCTTTCTCTGTAAAATAACCTATGAGACAGTGAGACTTATTGTGTCTTCAGTTCACAAATCAGTATGAAAAGATGCAACAAACGAGGTCAAAAGAGGCCAAAAAGCGTTAAGGCACTGCTGTTATGAGGCAATACTCACCTCAATGCTCTGCTGGTGGGAACATTAAGGAAGTGCATTGCCTCACTGCACAGGAACTCCCTAACTGACGAGCGGAGCACAGCACGCCCATCTCCAAACCTACCAAACACAACACAACAGACATCATGAGCTTCAAGCTGACTTATAATAAAGAATTTGCATTATTATGTGCATTATTAGCTCAGTATGGGGGAGCTGCAGTTCATTAGCTGAGACTGTATAAAGGGAATGTAATTTTACATACAGAAGTTAAGCAATTAAAAAAGGAAAACATATTGAGCTTGTAATAATATCATTACTACTAACAATATTGAATTTTATTTACATAGCGTATTTTATAAAAGAAGTTTACAAACTGCTTCATAGAAAAAAATTAAAAACCAAGATAAAGACAAATAAATCTCAGTAGACAGGAAGTTTAAATGAAGGGAAAATATAAAGAAATACTTAAATTGAAATAAAACAAAAAATTGATAGATTAAGCCTCATTCAAATTCAATATTAACTCAGTGCATTTAAAAATGTTTTAGTGCCAAGTGCTATGAGTGACACCAGGTTTTCAAAGAGAGAATTACAGGGCTTGGGGCCATAATAACAGAAACAGGATTTATATTAACACTAGAAACCGAGATCCTATTAGACCAGTTTTAGTATCACTCCACTGGCTGCCGGTTTTCTTTAGAATTAACTATAAAATTTTATTACAAGTTTTTAAATCTCTTGCAGCATCCTCATACATCTCTGAATTCCAGAGAAACTATGTTCCAAATTGGGTCTTAAGACCATCCAGTGCTGCCTTCTCCATATTCCATGCATGAAACTTTAAAAAAGTGGTGAAGCAGCCTTTTATTTTAATGCACCTAAGGTCTGGAGCACAGAACCAATAAATATTCTTCAGGCCTCCTTCAGTCACTGACTTTAAAAAACAGTTTAAAACACATACTTTAATCTTAGCATTTAACTAGCTTTTATTATTTTCCTTACTTTTACTGGAATGTTACTTTTACATTATTTTCAGAATTTTCTAATTGTACTTTTATTATGTTTTTTATGTTTTTAATCGTAACTGTTCTCTGTTTTGTTACAGCTTTTATTTGTTGCATCTAATGTTTGCTATTTTTATTTGACTATCACTTCTTTCTTTTCCCTCTCTATCACTGTACAGCACTTTGAGCTGCATTTTAAATGTAGGAATATGTGCTGTATAAATAAAGACTATTTATTATTATTATTATTATTATTATTATTATTAAGCTTGAAAAAGAGCTTCACCTTGAGTATGGTGTCTTTCCTGAGCCTTTCAGCTGGAGCTCCCATCTCTCACCTTTCCTGTTCCAAAGTGAGTCATAAATACATTATCAAACAGCTCATATCCAGAAACTAGTACAAAGATCAAATGTACTAAATTGTAACCTGTTCGTGTATTCACCCAGAAGATGTGCTCTGCCATCTCCTAGCTGTCCTGCCCAGTGGCCAAACTGAAGAACAAATGTAATGTATTAGTGTTCTAATCCAGTTATTGTCCTATTTTCACACTCACTGATGTTAAATTACAGGTTACTGTGTAAAAGGCTACCTGATGGCCTCCGTATCTGTGAGCCAGTGGAATAGAGCCAGGAAAAAGCCTCCCTCCACTGAGGAACTGAACAAAATCTTCACTATGCACCACAGACTCATCCAGGTCCAAAATATCCTCCGACACATCCTAGAAAAAGGAAAGTAAAAATATTACATTGCAGCTCACACTATTATGATTGATCTTAACTCGATCATCTAAAGCCTTTTCTGAGCAGCAATCACTTTACTTTTACTACTTGCAACGTGTGTCATTTTACAGTCTGACAGTAATAATTGTAGAGTGATTTTAATCCAGTATGAATCTGCAGTGTGTGTAGTTTTACAGTCTGACAGTAATAATTGTGGAGCGATTTTAATCCAGTATGAATCTGCAGTGTGTGTAGTTTTACAGTCTGACAGTAATAATTGTGGAGCGATTTTAATCCAGTATGAATCTGCAGTGTGTGTAGTTTTACAGTCTGACAGTAATAATTGTGGAGTGATTTTAATCCAGTATGAATCTGCAGTGTGTGTAGTTTTACAGTCTGACAGTAATAATTGTGGAGCGATTTTAATCCAGTATGAATCTGCAGTGTGTGTAGTTTTACAGTCTGACAGTAATAATTGTGGAGTGATTTTAATCCAGTATGAATCTGCAGTGTGTAGTTTTACAGTCTGACAGTAATAATTGTGGAGCGATTTTAATCCAGTGTGAATCTGCAGTGTGTGTAGTTTTACAGTCTGACAGTAATAATTGTGGAGTGAATGAATTTCTGTAAATAGCTGAACCTGAAGCTACTTGTAGTCCTGCTCCAATCCAAAGGTGTAATAATACCTGCTCACAGATATGGCTCTGTGGTGTGCTGTTATTAAGTCTGTCCTGTGGTGTGATGGATACGTAAAGATCTGGCCTGAACCAACTGACCAGCCAAGTCCCTTACATATTATATAAAAGCCTTTCCTGGTAAAATGAATTCAGCTCAAATGGTCACTTAAAACTGAGATATTCTTTCTTGTAATTTGTAATTATCAGCAAAAACGAAGATAAAAAAATGAGACCTAGCAAGTGTGGCAGCTGTGCGCTCACTCACCGAGCTGCTCACTGCCTACCTTTGATATGGCAGCAAGATGTAGTGCCCCCTTGAGCGGAGTGGGCTGAGACTGGGAAAATATACATCTCTTCACAGTGCGAACAAAGTTGTCCTTCACTTCATCAAGGGGCAGAGAATCTGGAGAACACAACAAAAGTCACATGAAGTGGACCAAATCAACAGGACCCAGCACCATGTCCACAAACTAGTCAGAGGTGTGAACTATCACAAAGCAAAGCAGCGTAACATAATGAAACGGAATGTATGAAAGGAATTAGTAATTAACTGCATTTACTACCCACATTGAGCCGTACAGTGTTTTTGTACATACAGCAGAAACAGACTCTGTAAATCTTGAAGACTTACTTTAATGATTTTGTTAAATTATGTTACAGGTTCAAAACGAATTCATTCCCCAGTCTATAGAGTCTGTATATGGAAACTAAGCTGCTAAAACATCCTGTTTAAAATTCATTGTTTTTGTGATGTCACAAAAACCAACACATTTACTACCTGCTCCTATTTATGGCAGTTTAGCTCCACCCACTCACACTGAAGTTATAAGGAGTGCTTCAGTCCCCCAGACTGAATAAGGCACAATACAAGGCAGCCCATCAGCCCAAAAGGCATGTAAAGGCAGTCTGTTTATTTGTAAGGGATAAACAGATGCTGGTAACCCCCCAAACATCATAAGTGGAAAAGAAGAATACAAGAAAAGTAAGGATATGGGCCCTTTAATGGAAAACACCTCTCACTTTAATAGGGGCTTTAGCTCTTTATTAAAATGAAATAAAAGTCTGACCAAAAGGATTAAAAAAGTATGGAGCCCCTAAGGTGATGTGGTGATTATTTTTTAATAAGTCAACAAATTTAAATATTGAAACCACAAGTTAAGTTTCTCATAACTTGTGGTGTCAATATAGCAATTTGCATTATTAGCTTAGTATGGGGAAGCTGCAGTTCATTACCTGAGAATTTTACATGTAGAAGTTAAGCAATTAAAAACAGAAGATTATTGAGCTTGTAATAATATCATTACTACTAACAATTATAATGAATTTTATTTACATAGGGTATTTTATTTATTTTATGTTTATGTGTAATTTCTATTTGTTTCCACATATATTTATTTACGTGTTGCTATGTTGTTCTCAACTTCAGGTCCTGCCAAAATACTTATTTGGCCAAAAAAATATTCAGATTCTCCCTCTAGTATTATACTGCTTCATATAATATCACCGGGCCCCTAAGTTTTTTCTTAAATGTGTTCTTGAGAAAGGTCCTTAGAAAAAGTCTATGTCAGCTTCATGACGTGTTCTTAAAGCGCAGAACTGTTCACACCTTTTGCTCTTGAGTGTGTGTAGATTCTGTTCTTACTTAAGAACAAATCCCAGATAAGAAAACACTGCTGAAAGTCAGAATCTTTGTAAAAAAGGCGTTAAGTGGGTTTTAAGAAGAAATTTCCTCTTAAGAACGGTTGGTGAATGAGGCCCATGGTCTTTACTCTTACACTCTTTTATAACCCTCTTGTAACCAGCCTACCTAACAGTCTGTAGGCTGTAATTTTAAGGGGAGGTTGAGCACTGCAGGTCCACTTGGGTCCAGAATTAGTTAGTGGACTCTGATCTTTCCGGCAGCTCTGAACAGGCTCCCCAAACCCTGAAGCCCCTGCGGACACGGTGATCACTAGTGCAGTGAGGGCGATGACTTGGGACATTTAGGGTCTTGATCTTTCACCAAACCCCCACAACAAACCTGAACAACAGAGTACACAGGATCAACAAACACATAAATAAACATGTACACAAATTTTACAAACCAAGGAACTGTCCACATAACTTATGGAGAATTATACACGATACTGCATTTTCAATTTCTGCCATGTGTGGCACAACCAATCACACCAGCCACAACCAGCACACTGCAGACTAACAACACATATTACACAATAAAAGACATTACAACTAATGTGGAAATGTTAGAAACTCAAAACTAGACAGGTTAACCAAAAACAAGGACATTTAAAGGGCCACATCATGAAAAATAAAATTCTTTTTGAAATAAAAGAGTTGGGTGTAGTACATAAACACCGTTAAAAATTCAAAACATACCATTCATCATCCACTTCATACAGTCTGTATGTGGAAACTAAGTTGCTAAAACATTCTGTTTCAAATTTTTTGTGATGTCACATTTACTACGTCCTCCTATTCAGTTTATGGCACTTTAGCTCCACCCACTCACACTAAAGCTATAAAGAGTGCTTCAGTCCCCCAGACTGAATGAGGTACAATACAGGGCAGACCGTCAGACCAAAAGGCATGTCAAGGCAGTCTGTTAACTTGTAAGGGATAAACAGATGCTGACAATTGTCATGTAAAAATTATTTGAGGCTGGTAACCCCCCAAACACCATGAGTGGAAAGAAGAATAAAATACAAGAAAACTAAGGATATGGGCCCTTTAATGGAAAACACCTCTCACTTCAATAGGGGCTTTAGCTGTTTATTAAAATGAAATAAAAGTCTGACCAAAAAGTATGGAGCCCCTAAGGTGATGTGGTGATTATTTTTTAATAAGTCAACAAATTTAAATACTGAAACCACAAGTTACATTTCTCATAACTTGTGGCGTCAATATAGCAATTTGTGGCCTCAATGTATTAAAGTGTGGCCTCAACATGGTAACTCGTGGCCTACTATATTAAAATATGGACACACCTTTTTAAAAATAATCACCAGGTCACCTTAAGGGCTCCGTAAAAAAGAGAATAGAGTCTAAGAAACTGAAGTGCCTAGGCTGATAGATGCTGGATGTGCTAAGCAGGAGTTCTGATGTTACTTATTATGTTTTGGCAGTTACATTTACTTCTCCTTGATTATTTCACTGAAGAAACTCTTTTAGTTGTTCTCGGACGGTTTTTGCGGTTTCAGACTCTTCGGCAGTTCTGTACGGGCGTTATTATCACAGCGAAGCTGAAATCAGCTCACTGTTTGCCAGCTATTTGTTCTATTTTTCCGTTCCACCTTAAATGGTGCAGCTGTTATAGTTAGAGCGCTTCAGACGCCACAATGTAACTGCTGCACCATTTAAGGTGGAACGGGAAAATTCCAACTAGTGACGCTAGAAGGCGAATAGGAAGCCAACTTCAGCTTCGCGTTATCATCACACTACTTTATCACCTCAGAGTCTCCTCAGATTCACCGGGTCCATCCACACACTTCATATAAGCGCTGTATGAGGCTGAGGGGAAACATAACGATGTTAATCTTTAGCCAAAAAACGAGTTTAGTGAGTAAAACCAGAGGATTTTAAAGTTGCCACAGCTACAGATCGTAAACACTGCGATTCTAGCAACGTATGGCCAATTTGTGTCAAAATAAAAGTCCCTGTCCCAACATCCCCAATATCATTTGAATCAAAACTGTGATTAAATGCATACTGTGATTAAATGTGATTTTAAAAAATATATTGAGGAAAAAAAAACTTTGTTAATAAAAAAAATATATTGAGAAAAGGAAAATTGAATTGATCTAAATATAAACATACACTGACCCAAAACTTATTAGTCACAGAAGAAACTATGCTGACAGTAAAATCACAGTAAACTACATGTAAGTGCAGAATTACTACCTCTCCCCTATCATCGACTGACGCTTCATTTCTGAGAGTTTTGTAGGGAGTCGCTGGCTTTTATTTTGAAGGGGACTGTGAAGGTGTGATTGCCTGTTTTTCTGGCTCGTCTTCTCGTAATAGCGCGGTCAGGCGCGTTGCGTCATCAACCGCTTACCGATATATCCTGCACCCCCGGCTTCCGGTCGCCGCTCATTGGGCCGAGCAGAGAAAGGACAGGCCTGTTTTGTGCCTGAAAACATTGTTTTTATTTATTAATGTATGTTTGTAAACAACAGTGTAAGTTTATCAGTAAATTACTGCAGTGGAGAAAGTCGCGTAGTTCTCTGTTTACTGTTAGAGTGCTAATGGGATTCACTGACTTACTAACCAAAATAACCGTCAGTGAAGGCTGCACAGTTTTAAATGTACACATTTGATCATTACACGCATTATATTAATGTATAATCTATAAAGTGAGGTGAAATGGCATTTTAGGTTGTCTGGTTATTCGTTTAGCAAATATAAACAACAATGTCAGCAGCGCGCTGTGAAAATTTAATGTAAAAAAAATGAGATGAAAGAGAAAAGAAAGAAAAGTAACACTTTAACAGAAGTCATTCAGAGTGGTTTGATGTGGAATTGCAGAGAAATTGTAGAGATCTGTAGAGAAATTGATAGAAACAGAGAAACCTACAGATGTCTTTACAGTGGTGGTGATAGGAACCAGAGGTCTCAAAGTCTACAACACCAATATAGACATTTTATTTAGTATCCAAAACCACTAGTGACCCTACACGCGTCTTCTGAGTTTTTATAAGCAATGTTGATGATGATAAAATACAGTTTAAGGCAAAACCTTATCGCAAAACAGTGTCTCAGACATCAGGCGGTGAATTCATAACCATTTTCACGTAATAACTTTCTGTGAGGGAGCTTTTAGAGGTGGACGTCTGGTTCCCATCACCACCACTGTGAACAATTCACACCAAACCACTCTGAACGACTCTGATCACATCTTAACCATTATATTATGTAGATTTTTTTTTAAAAGTCGGTGGAGTTCCCCTTTAAGCTGAGTTATGTTCAGGCGCTCGCGGCAGCCCCGGGGTGCAGGTTTGTGCAGGGGGAGGCGTGGTGTCGCGCCGCGCCGCGCCGCGCCGGTGTGTGTGAGGAAGCATGGCGGCGCCCTGGAGGATGTACAGGAGCAGGAGCGGAGCGGTGAGCGGCCTCGTCCGCGCCGTGTGGGCAGCCAGGACAGGAGCTGCCGCGGAGGAGGGTCTTTATGAGGCGGAGGTAACTCGGGACCACTCGGGGTCTTCACCACCACACACACACACTCACACACGCTGTCAGAGTGCGAGAAGGTCATTCAGTGCAGCTGCAGAGACCCGCACGGCGCGGCTCTGAGAGGGATTACAGTCACACTCATATAATAACGCAGAGCAGAGTGGTGTACAGTCTCTCACACCGCGGTCTGAGGAGTGAATGAGCGCACTTTACATGGAGTGATAAGGGCTAAACTGGTTTAAGAAGGAATTGACCTATCAGCTCCACTGACCATATAGGACCACTTTGTAGTTCTACAGTTACAGACTGTAGTCCATCTGGACCCTCACAGAGCAGGTACTATTTGGGTGGTGGATCATTCTCAGCACTGCAGTAACACTGACGTGGTGGTGTGTTGGTGTGTGTTGTGCTGGTGTGAGTGGATCAGACACAGCAGTGCTGCTGGAGTTTTTAAACACTGTGTCCACTCACTGTCCACTCTATTAGACACTCCTACCTTGTCAGTCCACCTTGTAGATGTAAAGTCAGAGACGATAGCTCATCTGCTGCTGCACAGTTTGTGTTGGTCATCCTCTAGTCCTTCATCAGTGGTCACAGGACGCTGCCCACTGGACGCTGTTGGCTGGATATTTTTGGTGCTCAGTCCAGCAGTGACACTGAAGTGTTTAAAAACGCCAGCAGCACTGCTGTGTCTGATCCACTCGCACCAGTGCAACACACACTAACACACCACCACCACATCAGTGGCTGTCTAAACTGGAAATTCAGTTAATGAAGGGTGGTCCTGGACATTTTCAGTGTAATATAGTATAATGTAATATAAGGCCAGTATTTTAGAACCAGGTTAAGCCTAAGCCTAGATTAAAATACATTTCCAATGATGAATCCCCATTGGCACTGTGATTTAGTCCAGGACGAGGCTTAATCCAAGTCTACGAAACCATAATAAAAGAAACTATTATTGTTACGCTGTGTGTTTTGTTTCCTGCACGTATGTTCGGCTGTAGAACAGCTGCTGTTTACAGTCACTTGGTTCCAGTTTGAATGGAGTTGTTGCTGCACTGTTTTAAACCCCCCAAAATCTCAGGCCTATTACATCGTATAACTACAAGGACTACAGAGCCGACTGGCTGAGCTGTTCTCAGAGTTATTCTGGGTCCTGACCGGTTAAGTGGTTACTCGAGTAAACTAAGCCATATAAATATAATACGTTATATAAGATATTTTTCACGTTTTGGCTCCCTGTATCTGTACTTGCTCTGTTTATGTGCATAAGTTAGTACATTAGCCATCCATTCCAGGCGATCCTATCGCCTCCCATTCCAGGACAAAAGGTCAAGACCTCCCTCAGTGTTGGTCCCTCAGGTTCGGCTAACAGCTGGACTGAACAGATTTAGTGCAGTGTTGCTTCCCAGCAAAAGCTGTGCAGTTTTACTGCAGGTGTGATAAACTCAGGGTGTGGCAGGTTAAAGGTGGGGCTGCTGTAATTAATGATGCTGGCGGTTCTGAATGACCTGTCGTTGATGTTTTGCAGGTGCTGGTTCCGTTCAGGCGTGTACATAATGCTGTCAGGCCAAACTCTTTTACAAGGTTTGTGTTTATATTTGAAGTTTAATGCAAAAATTTGAAGACACCTGGTGAAATGACACGTTTGAAAATTAATGAACACATGCTTTTTAGAGGAAATTAAATATGGCATTTTCTATTTATTTGCTAATATATTGGGAAAAAATTTACAGAATGTGCCATAAAGTTTGCACAGGACACATTTTAAAATAGTTTTTGCAGGTAGACAGTAAATTGGCATTAGAATGTGATCCCTGTAGAGCCCATATGTCAAACCTGAGGGCTGCGGGCCAAGTCAGGCCTGTGACACAGTCCAATTCGGCCCGTGAAATTATTTTAATTTTCTATTACTATCAGCCCGTTTCACCCTGAGCAGCACTACAGTCCCCAGCATGCACTGGAACATAGTGTGCATTCTGACCCCCTTGCCCCAACAACAGTCTATGGGTCAGCGGTTACACAAAAAGAAAAGGTGCCTGGTGTCTAGTTCAAGCAAATAGGCAGTTTAAAAAACCTACCTCCTGGGAGATTTAAAGAGGTTTAACAGTTGTCTGTAACTAATGTAGCCTGTTGTTTTATATAAAACAATTTCTTTTTATTTAGAATTATTTTTGAGTACTTCAAGTATTCGGTGCCTAGTTTGCAGTTGCAGGTTTGGCATATTTTGAATAAACAATGGCCAGTTCGGGTCAAGGCAAAACGTTAAGTAAAAATGAAATAAACACAGCTGGCCCCCTGATTCGCTGAGATTTATTGTGGTTTTTAGTGGTTGAGTTTGACACCCCTGCTGTAGAGGATGTGTTCTCTTATTTTCACTTAAAAAATCAACAAAACTTGTAATTTGACTTTAAAAGTTGTCTTACGCTCAAAATGAGCTGAAATATTCTGTGTAATTTTGTGTGTTTTGTTGTTGTTGTCCAGATACAGAAACAGGTTTCTCTACCCAACGCCTAGAATATGCTGCTGTAGGATACACAGTGACGCAAAGATAAAAGATCCCTTTTCACTCGCGCAAAAGGATTTGAAAAATATATATGAAGATATTAAAAAGGTATTTTTTTCTTTTTCATTTTGGAATACCGTCATGTGGCTTTGATCTTAGGATTGTAATTTAAAGCGAGCGGATTTCCTCTCTATAAGTGATGATTCAAACAGATTGCTTTTTTCCAGCTCCTGGTGTCCAAAGCGGAGCTGAAAGCCCTGTGTGATTATTACTTCGACGGGAAGGGGAAGGCGTTCCGGCCGATGATCGTGGTGCTGATGGCCAGAGCCTGCAACATTCACAGCAATAGACAGGGGTGAGTTTGCACCGTGCTCTGTTTTCCTTGCTGCATGCAGGAGTGACAGAGTCTCAGTATGTGTTTATGTTTTTCTCCTGACAGTGACCTCCTCCCAGCTCAGCGGTCCATAGCCATGATCTCAGAGATGATCCACACTGCCAGCTTGGTGCATGACGACGTTATTGATGGTGCAGATACGAGACGAGGAAAAACCACTATCAATGAAGTGTGGGGGGAGAGGAAAGTAAGTGTTTTACACCAGTGCAGCTGCATCAGTACACAAAAGGCATGACCGTCATAAGAAGATCAGATGTTTGAACATGGAAAGCATGAAAATGTGCAGAATAGAGGACAGAGGATGTGATTCACTCGGAGCTCAGCACTGGGCAATATGACACTATACACCAATCAGGCATAACATTATGACCACCTCCTTGTAGCCCCCTTTTACCCTGTTCTTCAGTGGTCAGGACCACCATGGACCCTCACAGAGCAGGTACTATTTGGGTGGTGGATCATTCTCAGCACTGCAGTAACACTGACGTGATGGTGGTGTGTTAGTGTGTGTTGCGCTGGTACGAGTGGATCAGACACAGCAGCGCTGCTGGAGTTTTTAAACACTGTGTCCACTCACTGTCCACTCTATTAGACACTCCTACCTTGTCAGTCCACCTTGTAGATGTAAAGTCAGAGACGATAGCTCATCTGCTGCTGCACAGTTTGTGTTGGTCATCCTCTAGTCCTTCATCAGTGGTCACAGGACGCTGCCCACAGGACGCTGTTGGCTGGATGTTTTTGGTTGGTGGACTATTCTCAGTCCAGCAGTGACACTGAAGTGTTTAAAAGCTCCAGCAGCACTGCTGTGTCTGATCCACTCAGACCAGCACAACACACACTAACACACCACCACCACGTCAGTGTTACTGCAGTGCTGAGAATGATCCACCACCCAATAGTAACTGCTCTGTGAGGGTCCATGGGGGTCCTGACCACTGAAGAACAGGGTAAAAGGGGGCTAACAAAGTATCAGAGAAACAGATGGACTACAGTCTGTAACTGTAGAACTACAAAGTGCACCTATATAGTAAGTGGAGCTGATAAAATAGACAATGAGTGTAGAAACAAGGAGGTGGTCATAATGTTATGCCTGACCGGTGTATATACTATATACATATGTTATCACAGCTGTGTGGTTTGAGTTAAAAGAGTAGACAGTGACAGTGCAGTGAATCTCGGCACTTTTTCCGTTGTCTCAAGGCTATCCTGGCTGGAGATTTCATTCTCTCTGCAGCGTCTATGGCCCTGGCGCGCATCGGGAACAACACAGTGGTGTCTGTGCTTTCCCAAGTCATAGAGGACCTTGTGCGAGGTATGAAATTAAACTTTGAGAATTTGTACGTTTACATTTAATAATCCTAGCAGTAAAGGAAAGCTAATCAGAGGAACGGGGTAATCATACGCAAATTAATAATGTCATGTTACCCTAACTTCAGTCCCTTATTCAAGCATACGGTACAACAAGCATATCGCTGCTGTCGGAAGAAAACCTTGTATCTCCATTTTAGACGTTTTCCAGTTTTTGACATAATTTGAAAATATCTTTTATCCTTAACATTGTGTGTAAATTTCATGATGAACGGACTAAAAGAAATGACCCAAAATTACTCTGCAAAAAGTCTGGTTCCATTGACTTACATTAAAAGTTAAGTAGGTTTTTTCCTTCTCCTGTAAAGTTACCATTTTGGAGATATGAGGTTTTCTTCCCACAACAGCGATTATATTATGTATTACATATTCTATATATAAAACATTAACACTTTATTTTTCTTTGTTAAATTTTATTAATATATAGAGCCATTTTATAAAACATATTTTACATTGTTATGATCTGAAACCTGCCCACCTTCTTTATTTGTATATTGTTTGGTCGTTTTGGCCCTCTGCCCACCACAATCACCACTTTTGCTCCCCCAGACAAACAGTTTGGGCACTCCTGTGCTCAACAGTCCCTGTTAATTTTATTCATGTTCATGTTTTAATAAGCGCTTTCCAGTATTACTTTTCAGTGAAATTGTAGATGATTAGATAAGTGACATCAAAAACGTTGATTATGTGCAGGTGAGTTCATGCAGCTGGGATCCAAAGAGAACGAGAACGAGCGATTCAAACACTACCTCGAGAAAACCTTCAAGAAGACGGCGAGCCTGATAGCGAACAGCTGTAAAGCAGTATGTACGTTCTGTGGTCACGTGATTGAGAAGCCTCGGTTTGGAAACGGGAGATGCTTAACTCGTCCGTGTTTGTTCTGGACTGCAGGTTTCGATTCTGGTAAACTCGGATCCTGAGGTGCACGAGATCGCGTATCAGTACGGACGAAACGTGGGCATCGCCTTTCAGGTACAGGAGCACTGAAGAGGAGATATTAGCTGCACTGTATATAAAGTGATCTCATAAGAGTTGTTATTATTCGCCATCATAACAAAGCTTTATGTCCAAAACGGTACAGAAGAATTTAAAAAAATGGGTAACACTTTACTGTAGGGTGCTGTTCATAAGGCAACATGACACATAAGCTTGTCATGACAACTGACATAACCCTACATAACTGGTTATAAATGCTTGTTCCAATAAGCGTCATTATTTATAAACATTTGCCAATTTTGATCAAAGTCAGCTAAAGTAGCATTTATGACAGATGACGCCTGTTGTAATAAGCATTTATAAACAGTTATGTAGGGTTATGTATGTTGTAATGACAAGCTTAGGTAGGTGTCATGTAGCCTTATGAACAGCACCCTACAGTAAAGTGTTACCAAAAAATTTCTTAACTTTGATGAATGTTAAAAGAAAACTGTTTTGTTTAAAAAGCAAAGTGTATTTTAAAATATTAAGCGTTTACATACTACATCACTATTGTTACAGGATATAAATGGAAATATTTTCCTCTAGAGTAGCGTGTAAACTACACACTGTCGAAGTTTTAAAAAGCACTATCCACTTAGAGTCCATATATGAAATTAAGCTGCAAAAATGGCCTGTTTTGAATTCAAAACAATGCTTTGTGTTGTTACAAAAACCAGCATATTTACACGTCTGCCTGTTCATCTCACAGCGGTTTAGCTCCACCCATTCACACTAAAATTATACTCAAATAAGCAGGCTGCTTTTTCAGTCAGGCACAACACAGGACAGCCAATCAGAACAGAGATCATGTACATATATTAGTTTTAAAGGCACAGTAACAAAAAATAACCTGTTTAATTCTAAGGGATTAAGAGAGAGTGGAAAACGGTGATGTAAAAATTATGACTGTTTTGGTACATTAATCCGCACAATCATTATAAGTGGAAAACAAGAAAATACTAGAAAAATGTAGTGATACGGGCCTTTAATGTAATGGAACAAAAGTCATTTTGGACCATTTTTGGTTTGTTCATCATGAAGTGTTCACACACTGTAAAGGGCAGCTGGTGCTTTCAGTTATACGGAAAGTAAAAATGTATGTATTATGTAAAAGTTAAAACGTACTACCATTGCTGTGGAGTTGTATGCAAAAGTTTGGGCACCCCTGGTCCAATGACGTTTTGTTGATTTTCTAAATAGAAGTTAATTAACACATCCTTCACATTGAACATCCTTCTGCACAGTTTACTAAGGAATTTAACATATTAGAAACAAATGACATGAAAAGTGATGAGTGTAAAGGCAATGGCACATTTTATGTTTATAATAAATAGAAATTGTGCACAAAAATTAGCACATAAATGCCATAAATATTTGTTGTAGAATATGTATTATTATTATTATTATTATCATCATCATTATTATTATTATTATTATTATTGTTGACGCTTAGAAAATCAACAAAACACATCATTTTACTGGGAGGTGTTCAACAGAGTGAGTCTTCAACATCATGCTGAATTGCTTTTGTTCTTGAATTGTTCATTTAGCTGGTGGACGATGTGCTGGACTTCACCTCATGTGCTAACCACCTGGGGAAGCCCTCAGCTGCAGATCTAAAGCTAGGCTTAGCCACCGGACCCGTTCTGTTTGCCTGCCAACAGGTACGGCAGCAGCACACACCTCCACTGTAATACTGAGTCTCTTAGAAACTGTGTTGACTTTGACATCACATCTGCTTTACTGAGATCATGTTAGAATATCAGCACCAACTGAAATGGATTTCATATAACAATGATGAAGACAAAATATCCTGATCACGAGTCATTTTTATAGACTTGCCATGAGTAACTGTGTTTGTCTCTAAGCAACTCCAAATGGTTCTAGTGCAACTGTCACTCCTCTGTGACTCTCTCTCTCTCTCTCTCTCTCTCTCACTCACTCACTCACTCACTCACTCTCTCTCTCTCTCACTCTCTCTCTCTCTCTCTCTCTCTCTCTCGCCACAGTTTCCTGAATTGCATGCAATGATAATGAGACGTTTCGGTTCTGATGGAGACGTTGATCGGGCATGGCGATACGTCCTGCAGGTGAGAGCACCACCAGTACATTTAGAGTCAGATCCAATAAAAGATCTTACATATCCAATTAAGAAACGTTTATGAACATTCTCCCCAGATACTCAGCTATTTATAATTTTTAGCTAGTTGGCTCACACTGGCACACCTACCCTTGGTTTGATTAAGCCCTTAAATTAAATCGATGTGATTTAATTATTAATCTTAAGACTTTACAATCAGGAAGCCTGTCTAACGAAGCAGGATTTATTCTTTAGCCAGCTAAATTTCAGCTTAGTTTGGCCTAACCCTGGATTTTCTCACAATAGTGGAACACTTTTGACCAGGCTACATTACCATGGCAACTAATGCGGCCCTTAAATGTGGGATTTCAGCTCATAAACAGCTCGTAGGCCCCTCAGGTCTGAGCTTCTGGCCCATCAGGACAGCCTTCTGTCCTCCAGTCCTTTTTTTCGGGCCTTTTTTTCCCATGAATGACATTTGTGGCTTCAGTCATGTCAATAATATTCAGTGGAGGAAACAAATCATACTGCATAGATGATTTGTATGAATTGTTCTTCCCTCTTTGAAAAATAAGCCACTGGACTCACATTTCGCCTGATTGGCTGTTCAGCCTAAACATCACTCTTTCATGTGCACTTGTTGGGCTTTGTGAAGCTGAAACTTGGTCAGGAAGCCATAAATCCTGCATTGTGAGACGGGCCCTGGGTCTGTAGACCTTAAAGGGGAAAGTAGCCAAACAGTCTTCTTTCCACAGAGTGATGGTGTGGAGCAGACTAACTACCTCGCACAGCGCTACTGCCAAGAGGCCATCCGTCAGATCAGCCGACTGCAGCCGTCTGCGGAGCGGGACGCGCTTATCCGGTTAACGGAGTTAGTCCTGTCCCGGGACAAGTGATCCCAGACTCTAGAGCACCAGCTCAGGCAGCTACTCCTCTGCAGGGCCCTGTACGAGGGGGAAACGGCGACGGGGATTAAGGGATGTCCCCGTTACCGGCCCACTCTACTGTACACACCACTTACAGCAGAGGTGTCGCACTCTGGTTCTCAAGTGCCACAGCACTACACAGATCAGTCTGTTTCCCTCTGTAGCACATTTGGGTTGACTCATCATTGGAGTTACATCAGGAGTGTTAAAGGAAAATGTAATTTTACATTTTTCTCCTTTACCCCAGAAATAGGTAATTAGACAAGACATTTTTGGTGTTTGAGGTTTGAGTAACCAATTGCCAACATGAAAACTGCATACCTAAATAATCACAGACCTGTTTCGAACCTTGTCAAGTTGTTAAGTAAGCACAAGTTGACTGAAGTTTAGGGCACCACATGACTACTGTCATCTATAAAGAGGGGTGTGGCTAAAAACTGTGGTGGCCACTATTAAGGGCTAAACAATTTGGGAAAAATATCTAATTGTGATATTTCAGACCTCTGTTATTAATTCAAATCGCAGTTATTCTCAGTAACTTAAGATTCAGGCTTGTTGTTTTGGCCAAGAAGAGCACATCCACTTTTTCTGGCTTCACGTTAAACCACTGAATGTATTGTGCCAAATGGCCTAGTTAGTTGTGGTTGTGTTGTCATGTACGTGGGTGTTTAGTTGCTTCTGATTGGTTCAGCTCACTTACAAATAGTTCACAAGCTTCAAAAATCCCACCGAAAAATTCTCACATAAAATTTGTTGGCTATAATTAAAATTCCAGCTCTTTACAATTAAGATTTCAGTATCAGAGTGAGTCAACTTTGAGCCCTAGCTGCCAATAGGGGTGCCTCATTTTCATGCATATCACTGTTGTTGGAACAAAACCTGGTATCTCAAAAATGGTAACTTTACAGGAGAAGCAAAAAACATACTTTACTTTTAATGTAAGTCAATGGAACCAGACTTTTTTCCATGTCATTTTGGGCTGTTTCTTTTGGTCCATTCATCAAGAAATTTACACACAATGTAAAGGACAACAGGCATTTTCAAATTATGTAAAAAAACTGAAAAATGACAAAAATGGAGATACAAGGTTTTGTTCCAACAGCAGCGACATATAATGTACATAACGTTTAGTTTTTCTGAGGTTTGATAAGTTGTACCAGCAGTGCCACGTTTAAACAATATCACTAAATACCATTGAATATAATGATTCTGTTTATTTTTCATGTTTTTATGTTTCACACACTGCACTGCGATACATACCAGTTAAACAGGACTAATTATGTTCAGTTTGTAATGCAAAATGGAGCATTAAGGACTGACAGTACCCACAATATGATCAGAAAAGCATAATTGACAATTTTTCATTATAATAATAAATACCATCATATTTCCCACCCCTAGCCACCTTGCAGTTCTGTCTGTTTATTGAATGTGATGATTTAGGCAGGCACTTTGCACAATGCTAATTGGTGGGGTGAAAGCATCCATTACTTTTTAGCTACATTAGCCTTGTAGCTCTTGTGCACAACTAAAGAGGCAAACTTCAGACACCAAACATGTCTTGGCTGACTGACAACCCAAATTTGGGTTGTAGGGAACGTGTACGATTTTTCACTGCACTATTCCGTTAAAGCAAGGGAAACGCTGTTGTGCAGTTTTGTGGCCCTCTAGAACCTGGAATGACACCTGTGCCTTAAAAAGCTCAGCCCAAAGTGCTAAAGTTGCCTAATAGTGAATTAAAGCTAGGTGGACTCGGTTAACATTATGTAAATAGGCTATGCTCACTGGGTCACATTAGCTTTCTTACACTGCTGGCCACTTCAGCATTTTGGGGTGAAGTACTCCGTTCCAGGGATTCGCAGAAAAAAAAGAGTGATGTAAGAGATATTTGTTATTGTCACTATGTGTGTTACTGTACTGTACAGGCAGAAACCTCATGCATCCTCACCCACTGAGCCCGAGCATTACAGGAGGATGTGGGGAGGGGCGACCTGCTGTATCATTGTAATTCCAGGCATGGCACGGGGTCAATATGTGCGAGTGGGGTCAATACATGTGCGTCTGACTGTGGAACGGTTACGTGTTTCCAGAAGGTCCGTCCATGCCGTAAAAAGGCCAAATCCCGACTTGTGAATATGGGAAAATGTTGTCAATGTACTTTGGCATCAAGTGCTCAGCAACAACCAAGGCCTTAAATCCACAGTAACTATGTATTGATATTAAACACATCTATTTTTTAAGTTACACTTTCGTGCCTTCTGTGCTTATTTACTTCTCCAAATCACAAAATCTGCACATTTTCTTTACACAGGAGAATGATTTATTATAAAAGACTGTACATTTAATTTTTCAATTAACATCATAAATACAAATTCTGGGCAGAGGCAAGCTTTGATAATTCTCTCCATTCAAATTCAGCTGGAACAAATGTTTATCACAAAGTGAAACTAATCAAGGCGTTAGCTGCTGACCTGTCCGACAGTGACGAGCAGTTAATTCCTTTTGGATGGGGGTCGGGAAATTCTTAACAGTTTCCATAAAATCATAATGACGCAGTGGCATAAATGAACAGTGTGGGGTCAGAAAAGAGCTGGGCGACACTTCAGTACAGGGGGTCATTATAATGCTCTTGTAATGCAGTTATCAAACCAGTAGCTGCTAATTAAAGGGGAATGCCACCGATCCCCCCCCCACACACATTTCTGCGCAACTACATTTTTAGAGATGTTAGTCATTTAGAGTGGTTTTGTATGAAACGTGCCGAGTCAGAGTTGTTCATAATGGTGGTGGTAGCAACCAGACGTCTTAAGTGTTTGTCTCTAAAAGCTACAGCACAGAAAATATAAAACGATTACTGTAACATGAAGCCGGATGCTTTTTATGATAGTTCAGAGAAGGTTTTGGCTTAAAATGTAGATTTCAAATCCATTAAATGGCGAAAAGGTGTTGTGAGGCAAAACCGTCACCAAACAAAACATTTGATTATTTTTAGCACTATTTCACCCATCAACATTACATAAAAGCTCTGAAGACACGTCATTTGAATAGCAAATGAAATGGCTATTCGTGTTGTAGAGATTGTGACCCCTGGTTCCTATCACCACCACTGTAAACAAATCTGAGTGAGTAGGTTTCTCTAAAATGTGAAATTTCACGTCAAACCACCCTGAATGACTGTTTACATCTCAACCACTGAATTATTTAAAAGTGTGAAAACCTTCCTGCTTATTTGTACTGCATTAGGCAATGATTGGGGTGAATGAGGCATTTTCAGAGCCCTTTCTTTTGTGTATATCAATCTTCGTAGGTGTCCATTATTCTAACCCTATTAAACCTAATCAACCTGTGATGGACTGGCAACCCGTCTAGGGTGCTTCCTGCCTTCCACTCTGTGAGCGCTCGAAAAGGCTCCAGCACCCCCTGCGATCCAGGAAGATAAGCAACTTAGAGGATTAATCAGTGAGAAGGAGGAAACCTTACCAAGCCAGTAATAACCAGCTAACTGGCTGCTCATTAGTACTTTATGAAGCAGTAACTAGAGTGAGTTAAGCATGTTTATTTCTGCATTATATGTCATAATATTGTGCACAACCCTTACTTAAGTCCATATTGTGCTCAGTTTCTTTTGATTTTTATCAACACTGCAATAATAAACCAATAATAAACCAATTAGCTCTAAATAAAGACAAACCGAACAAACAAAAGTGCTAACTTCTGCAGTTTAGGCCTCAGTTGACCACCTGGTCTGCATGAACTGTGTTTATTAACATCACATCAAGTCCAGACCAAACCTCTCAGACTGCATCTCATCAAAGCACTAGCTGGATGTTTTCAAATCAATAAACAATGTGAAAACAGCTTAATTCACTCCAGTTATCATAAGCAATAAGCTGCCAGTTAATTAGCAGCTACTGACTTATTAAGGCTCAACAAGAGCATCATAATGTTCCTCTATACTGAAGCATTAACACTTGTTAAGACTTGATGTACAGTGGAATAAAAAGGATGAAATTCTTTCAATTAAACAGGAAATGCTATTAATTAAGATGGTGAAAACCTGAGATATGATACCAGAGCAGATCAGATCACAAATACAATTCCGTTTTTGTTCCTCATTCTATACAAGGAGGTAATGAGAAACGATGTACTGATCTCTTTAGTGTAATTACACTGCATGTTTTCTTTGTCTTTTTGGATGTAGATCGTGACACACAGTGTTGTGGATTGTAATCCCATTACTGATTAAGGTATTACTTTACTGTCTACATGTTTAAGCTATCTACAGGTAGTCTGTTTTTGCTCATCATTCCAAACGCTTACAGAAAAATCACCTTAAAAACGCAGAAAGAAAAGACGCTCGGACCTGCGTCTTTGATAAATGCACCTTTACATATGCATTCAAACAAAAAGGGAGGGGCGAATTCAAATTATATTGAATGTTTTAGTACAAATGAGGCAATAAAATGTCCATAAATACCTTCAAGTATCTGGACCCCCCCCCTAAAAAAAGGAATAAAATCAAATAAAAACTAAGAAGTGTTCACTGTATATTAAAGCATAATGGAAGCGAAATGGAATTAAACGTGGAGGTTACAATACATATCTTAAATTTGCAGGCATGCTTTACGTCAAAATTTAAGTACATTTCAGACTTGATGCCTTAAGATTAGGAAAAAAAAAAATCAGTTAGAAATGACGCACGGTTCTGTATTGTCAATGTTTGTCGTGTTTTCAGCATCGAAAATGCATCAGCATTTTGTGAAGGGGTTAGTTCGGACCGTATTCCAAGCGGAAACTATAAACCTACGTGTTTCTCGCGTGGCATCGTCGACTGTAAGAGATACTGTTCATGACTGATTGACATTCACTGTAAAAACACTACAAACATCCAACAGGCTACTGCTCGCTGTATATACACAGAACGACCGCATCAGACGATACCGATCCCTCCTTTCACCTCATTTCACAAGTACACCCACCCCCGCAGACGCCCCCCCGTACAACAAAATAAACTCAATAGACTTTTCTTTTCTTATCATTAATCTGCGATTTGTCAGGAACAATCACACCCTAATGCACTTCTTTATTAAGTGATGAGATTTCTGGTTTCTGATATATATTTGGAGAAATATGACCGATGCTGTGGTCCCTTCAGTCAGCGTAGTGCATAACGGACTCCACGTAGTTGCCGGGAAACAGGCCGGTCACTCCGTTACATACTCCCTCGAACCAGCCGTCATCGTTCTTCTTAATGATGTAGATGATGGCGCCCTCCATGAAGGACAGCTCGTCGTCTTTATCCTTGGTGTAGTCGTAGATGGCCACCACTGAGGACAGACAACGTAGAGACGTTTACAAATAAACAGCAACAACAACTTCTGATGAAATCAACAGGGCAATTACACTGTCATTAACTTCAGTTTAGAGTTTAGCAAGGGTTTAAAAGGGGAATTCCACCCATTTTTTTACATTTCTGAATAATTAAATCGATGTAAGTGAAATGCTCCATTCTAGAGGCCGAGTGTGTTCACAGTGGTGGTGGTAGGAACCAGACGTCAGAAGAGCTTAATGCCTCTAAAAGCTCTTCACAGGAAGATATTATATGACATGGTTATGAATACACTGCCTGATGTCTAAAACATTATATGACTATATAACACTATGATTGTTTTGAGAAGATTTTGGCCTAAATCTTATATGTTTAAAGCACAGTCATGGCAGAGAGAACATGCAGGGTATTGTGAGAGAAAATGGTCCTAAAAGAAAACTTATTTTTTTCAGATTCACCACTATTTTACCAACATTACACATAAAAACTCAGAAGATACATTTAGGTTCACTGGTGGTTTTGATAGTAAATAAAATGGCTATATTAGTGTTGTAGACATTGTGACCCATTTCCCATCACCACCACTGTAAAGAAATCCAAGCTGCTAAGTTTTCCCAAAATTTGTCATTTCACTTTGTTTACATCTATAAAATTTTGCACAAATTGTGAAAATTCAGTGGACTTCCCCTTCAAGCAGCTGCCCATTTCTACTTTACAAACCAAGGTTTACATCTCAACTATTGAATTATGCAGAAATTTTAAAAATCCATGGAACTAAAGCCAAAGAGATGTTTGTTAAATAGGGAGATTTTCAGGACATGATGTTTGTGTAAACAAGGCCATGTTAAACAGCTGTGGACAGAATTTTACTGCTGCAATAAACCACATGAGGCCGTGCGGTGTCCGTGCCAGGATGTGGACTTCGCCTTGTGCTGTTCTTCACACACATTAAGCGGTGAAAAATGACCGCAATGCACATCTGCGAGTGCATTACTTTTATAAAACAGCATATTTTTTTAAATTTACAATAATTTATTACTACTATTTATTCTGAATATTATTTATTCTAACTGAATCTTCTGATTCTAAGTAAAAGTAATAATACTAAATAATAACATTTTACAGAGAACACATTTCTGCACATTTTACCACATAATTACTGTTTAATTACTGAATTTAACACAAGGACACAGAAAAATAAATCAAACAAAATGTGGTCTGTGCAAATATTGTGGCACAGACAAATGGCATATTTAAGTTTCCTCCCTGTAGAGGATAAGTTAACTTACTTTCACTTAGAAAATCAACAAATGACAACAAATGATGCTCTTTTGTTCGCTGTCCAAGCCAAACTTCAGCTGATGGACTACATTTGGGGAAGTCTGACTTTTTGCAGACATATTTGAGAGCAGATATATTAACAAATCAGTGCTGTTTGAGGACATGCAGCAGCCCTCACCTTTCTCAATGTAGTTCTTAGGAGCCCACTGGGGGTCTCCATCAGCGTAGGGGTCATTGTAGTGGACCACAGCTGCCTCCTCATCCTCGTAGTCCACCGGCGGGGGCGGCGGAGGGGGCGGGGAGTCGTCGAACATGGGCATGTCATCCGGGGGTGGCGGGGGAGGAGGAGTTGGGGTGTCTGCAACTGGGGTGCCAAAAAAAAAGAAAAAGAAAAAAAGGCAGAAAGGTGGAGAGGAAGACAATCAGACTCATTACCATGGAAACTTGGAGAAGACTATGGACTGGACATGCAATCCAGCTCATGCACTTTGAGCACCATGTTAATGCTTGATGCTGGTTAGATGGTGTTGCATGCAGGGCGGTGATGTTTGCGTCCCGGCTAGCCACCGTGTTTGAGGCTCATTCATGATGTTAATGTGCTGAAATATGTTAAATGAACTCACCACTTAACCTAATCTTTATCAGTTGCATCTGTAGCACATGGTTTTTTCATGTGTGGTTGGTATAGTGCAGTGGGTAACACCTCTGCCTTCTACGCTGTAGACTTGGGTTCAATCCCTGACCTGCATAAGCACCCTACACTATACCAATGAGAGTCCCTGGGCAAGACTCCTAACACTACCTTCTCCTACCTGTGTAAACTGTAAGTCGCTCTGGATAAGAAATAACCTACACTTAGAAAAGAACAGAAAATATACTGACCCAGACCACATAAGCACCGGCCCATTGGATGCTATTTGAGTATTGCTTTATCCAATCAGCACAAGTGCCAAATATGGTGTGCATCTGATAATAAAAGCAGTTTCTTATTCATTCAGTTTCTTCAAGTAGCCAAACTGGAGAGGTGAGGAGGGTGGAGGGACACAGCCACAATGGCTAAAACTGAGGTCCAAGTAAAAATTTTCCATTTTACATTCAAAGTAGCCCCCTTCTTTGCTTTGATGCCACTTTATGAGCCACCTGGGATTAAGTGAAATAAATTAACACATCCTCTACGGAGAACACGCTTATTTTAGTGCACAAATTCTATTTATTTGCAGAGTGTAACAAAAACAAAACAATAACAACAACAAAAATACAACATAAAATGTGCCAATACTTTTACACAGGCCACATTCTATGTTTTATTTCCCCCCCCCATTATGAGGGATAGAGGAAGGAGGATGTGTTAACTTATTTTAACTTAGAAAATCAACTTAATACGTCATTTGATCAGGGGAGCGAAACATTTAGCATGTGACTGCATGTATACACATCACAGAACCAAATCTGAATAATTTAGGCCGTTTCTTTAGATTAAAACATCCACACTTAACTGGTAAATTTCCTCCTGCGCTGCTGCTTGGTTGTAATATTAAGGAAGACCAGTAGAGGGCAGCCAAAATAAACAAACAAACAATCTTCAGTTGAGATTAGAGCTCATCACCATGAAAAAGCCTAATCTGAGTCATAACAAATCAGAAAACTGAGCATAAAGCTGGTCTCAGATGCAGCACAGAAGGGTAAAATTGCGTGTTTATTCTGTGTGAAGTCTATTTCTGAAAAGCGTTTCAGTGCCACTGAGTAACGTGTCCCAGATTTCCTCACACTAAACGTTTCACAAACGAGCTTTGGAGAAACAATAAGAGCTTTTTTTCCCTCCAATTGAGCCTGTAAATAAGTTCCAATCTCTCGCTGAACAGCCTAGTAAGCTGCTTTCGGGCTTACATGAAAGAAAAACACACTTTTACATAAACGTGTGACGGTTTTTTCCTCTGATTATATCGAGCCATTCGGTCTTTTTCTTCTTGGCAGTGACTTTAATATGCAGTCTAACAGTGAAATAATCAATCAGTGCACAGGATCAATGATGATGACAGGGAAGAACATCATGCAGGAAGACAGTGAAGGAGGAGGACGGCATGAGCACATGCAGCACATCTATGAACTCCACATGCTAGACATACATACACCTCCACACACACTTGCACGCAGCACTGGGGGTCTTTAGCACTTACTGTTTTCCTGCACCCTCGCCACAAAGCCTGTGAGGGGAATCTGTGGAATCAGCTGAGGCATGGGGGGAGGCGGGGGGGCAACAGACACTGTACATACGTGTACACATACGGAGACACGCAGACACACATCCCAAGAGAGAAGGAGAGCAAGAAAAAGAGAAAAAAAAAAAGGCAAACGCACATTAGTTTGAAAAACCCAAAACAGAGAAATCAGATGAAAACCTCAATCGAAGCTCATTAAGAACACAATGAACGAGTCTGATTACATTTGTAGGAGGGAGATTAAAGCTACACTTCAGCCAAAAATCTAATTTGCACAGTTTCACTCTTTACACAAACGTAGTCGACCAGCCAGGTCACGTTTTGTGTCCGAAGCTTACGTCTTTAGTTTGTACCATTAGCGACGAGGCTAATGTAGCTAAGTGGCTCGTATAGGGAAGCTTACAATCCACCAGTCAGCAGCATGTAAACTTAAACGGTTATGCTTCGAGCTGTTAAATGGGAATTATACTTTTTCCCCCCCAGTCTTTCTGAATAATTCAGTGGTCGAGATGTAAACATCTCAAAAAAAGTCATTCAGAGTGGTTTGATGAGAAATTGTTCACAAAACTTACAGACTCTGATTTGTTTAGTGGTGGTGATGGGAACCAGGGGTCATGATGTCAACAATGCAAATGCAGCCATTTTCTTCCCTTGCCTGGAGTTTTTATATGTAATGATGATGGTACAATAGCGTGAAATCTGAATCTTTAATTGGGGACTATTTTGCCACGAATCTGTTTTATATTAAGTTTAAGCCAAAACTATCATTAAACTGTGCCAGACATCAGGCAGTGTACTGATAACCATTCGATGTAATACCTTGCTGTGAGGGAGCTTTTAAAGTCATTAAACTCTTCGGACGTCTGGTTCCCATCACCACCACTGTGAACAATTCTGACTCAGTAAGTTTCTCTAGAATGGAGTATTTCACATTAAACCACTCTATCGATTCAGACACGTAGTTTGCACAATGGAACTTGATAAAAGCTTTTATGATAATAGCTGTTATATAGTTCTCTGTCAGAAACAAAGGTACCACGCAGGTACATTTTCCATTCTTCAAAGTACAAACAATGTAAATGTTCCCTCAAAGGTACAACAGTGGTTTAAGGTCTGATTGTGAACCTTAAATAAGTTTTTCCAGGTGAAAAGTTTGTATTTGTACCTTTTCATAACCGAATGTTTTAAAACAGAACAGTAAAATAAAAGCCTGGAGACGAGACGGGGTGTGTGGAGTCAGTACAGCTTAGAACATATCATTTCAGTGGATTATGGTTCAGTTATGTTCCCTGACTAAAGGTACTGAGATGTACCCTTGAGGGTCCCACCCTAGTGACAAGAGGGGCGCTGCCCCAGTGACAGTTTAGAACCTTTATTTCTGAGAGTGTAGGTATTCTATTAGCTTCTATTACCAGCTAGATTAGTCTCATAGCTCAAACTAAAAAAAGTATGTTTCAGATTACATCAACTGCATTCAGACTATATTTGGAGAACTGGGGGTAAATTGTGGAAAAGTGTGGAAATTTTTAACCAAATTGTTTCTTTAAGATGTAAAAGGACTATATTTCATCTACAATAGTCATAATGTGAAGAGGTCATGTACTGATTGATTTACTGACGTACATCACAGATGCAAATGTTGCAGCATGTTCTGGGTAGAAGTCTGACATGGAAAAGGTTCACATTAACCAGACTGGAGAATTCAAAGGCTGTAAGCTCCACATTCTCCTAAAGGGACACTGATGAATGGCTTAAGTCACTTTCACACATGATGACTTATGAATTCCTGCACTCAACACTTTTCACGCTGCATGACCTGCCACTATAACAACTGCAGCTCTTTTAAAATGAACAGAACGTCCACACTGATAATTCCTTTGACCTACAGCCAAACATAATGACAGCATATTCATCTTTATCGTTCTAAGTTAACAGTTACCAGCAACTACAATATGCATTTCCTCTTTTTTTCAACTGTGAATACACAAAAGGTTCAAATGGGTGAAACAGAACAGCACAGCAGTGAAACTGCGGCGAACACCATGCAGTCAGAGATAATGACTGATCACACAGCTCCAACGCACTCACTCTTAAAAGTGTCTGTGTGTGTGTGTGTGTGTGTGTGTGTGTGTGTGTGTGTGTGTGTGTGTGTGTGTGTGTGTGTATGTGTGTGTGTGGGTGAGTGAGTGCTCGCATCACTGAGTGTAACCCTCTCATTAACAGGGGCTTTTCCAAAACTGCTTTAACACTTCAACAGTCATTCAAAGTCCTCATTAGTCACTAATTTACCATTTCAAACCAATTTATGGTAACCTATAAAAATGTAACCCCTTTAACCCCCTTAAAATACCAGGCTTATTACACACTAACGCTTATTATTCAGTAACTACAGGGACTTCAGTGCAAACTGGCTGAGCTACTCTTAGCTTATAGAAGTGTGTAATGAAACTTCGGGCCCACTGGTGGGTCCTGGCCATTTAAAGGGGTTAAACTGTATACTGTATGCTTAGTATTCAGCTATTAATCTTAATAAAGACTTAATATGTGATAACTGCTATGAATTATTCAGCATGTACTATGAATTATTGCTATAAATAATTTATTAACAACTATGTGACTATTGAAAAAAAAAGATTCAGTAACTACACCGAAAAAAGTGCACTGACTCAAATCTGTACATCAATTATGTTACATTGCCACAATTTTGTCTTTCTTTTCTCACTTTTGGCAAGAATTGGAACCAATGTACACATTTACACTATTTTACAAGTAAAATAGTGCATTTTTTTCAGTATATTATAAATTAATCTGTGACTACTATTAATTATTCAGTAACCATTATTATGAACTAATTAGTTACTACTATAAATGATCATATAATAACTACTATGACTTGTTCACAAACTACTATGAAACTAAAATGCAAGTCATATAATTTTAAGAGTGGGGATTTAATGATGTAGAGTTAATATATATTGCTGGGACAAAACCTTACATGTCTATTTTTCATTTTCTGACCTATTTTGAAAAAGGCACCTGCCTTTTATGTTGTGTCAAAATTTCATGATGAACAGATCAACAGAAATTCTTCAAAATTACTTGGAAGAACATATTTCTCCATTTACTTCCATTAAAAGTTAAGAGCGTTTTTCCTCGTCCTGTAAAGTTACCTTTTTAGAGATATGAGGTTTTGTGCCAACAGCAGCAAAATATATATCTTAGTCCACTAGTCTCAGACACCCACAGAGACACTGACTGTCTGATATCTATCGTACACTAAGCTGGGCTCAACCGTCACTATATTGCCAGCTGCATTCTGATTGGCTATCTGCACAGCCAGTTTTAAATCAATATAGCTGCTACAGTTGCATCACATCTCTAAAAATTAGTGATTATTCATCAGTTTTCTTGGAGCATTTACAAGATGTGTGTTCGCTGGCACACCCCACTTCTCTTCTCATGGGTGTTTTTGCTGCAGCATTGTTTTGTGTGCCGGTACACGTCACACAGTACCAACAGTCTGTGGTTATTTCTGCCTTTCCTGCCAAAAAAGGGCACTTGAAGAGCACCAAACTCTCTGACCACAGGCCTTAGTCTGGTCTGAGGATCATATACCATTCATAATGCTGGAATTAGCATCTGCTGAATATGTGAATGTTTACAATAACTATTGTCTGATTTATCAGTGTAAAATTCACTAATGATTCATTATATAATATAAACCTTTCTGCAAGAAAGTTCAGTTATCGGTTATCGTTAGTGGTTCATTATCATAGATGCATCTCTGCTTTTCTCACTCCATGTCCTCTGTGGCTCAGTGCACTGAAAACTGCAGACAGTGACACAATGGCTGATTTAATGCCTGTTAATGTCAGACGTTGCGATTAGACAATTTAACGCTCAGGAAGCTCTGGCAGACGTCCAATCACAAATGACACAGGTGCTGCTGCCGCCCTGGACATAAGTCTGAGGGTTTAACAGAGCTCAAGGACATCAGAGTCCAGCAGAACACCTGCACAATCGAGAGGGAGGGAGGGAGGGAGAGCGCAAGAGTGCAAGCGCCAGACAAGCTGTTCTTCCCTTAAAGTCTAACATGCCACACTAGACACGGAGGACATGGCTAAAAATACCATTCAGTTTAACGTGTTTAAAGGATAGATGCTGTGAGAGAGCTGCCACCTTGCCAGGCCTCGGCTTTAAGCTTTCATTTCTGACGCGTGCGACTCGCTCAGGGGAGGAAACTTCAACAAGTTCCTGGAGGACACTTGGAGGAATAATTAAAGCCTGACTCGACAAAACTGCCGCGAGGAGCCGCAGCGCTGTCGTATCGGCCCTTTCTGACTGCCTGTCCCGGAGAAGGCCAAGGACATCCTGCATCAATGCAGAAGATGGCAAAGACAAGCACAGCAGAGAGCAGAAAAGCCTTAAACTGCACTTTCAGACTGGAGGAGTTCAATACTGCCTTAATGAAACAGCTCCTGCTTTTCAAAAACACGAGAACGCTGCAGGCTGCATAACAAGAGCTGAAATCAAAGCTCAGGCCGAGGTGTTCAGAGCTGAACTCAGCGGTCACCTGCCAATAACTGACATTACTTCAGCGTATCAATTATCAACGATGCTGTCCATCATAGCACAGGGCTGTGATGTCTAACTGATCTCAAAATCACCTAAACATCCAATAGCGCCAACTTCTTTGCCTACATACAATTGATGGAATTGTTATTTGCTGACAAAGCAGAGCAGAACCAGCTCCCACATAGGGCTTTAATCCAGCCTTTCTTTTTCATGCTATATTAGAAAACAGATGTAGAATATCACGTTTCGCAAAGAAAACACACTTTTGATCCTGTTAAATGTGTTTGCTTGTAATGTGATCAGTCATGATTAATATCTATAGGTAGCAAACCATAGTTTCAATAACAAAAAACAGAAAAAGTGAGAATTTGAAATTAAACTTAAGTTGAACATTGAGGCAACTTTTTAATCAGTTTAAAAAGTTTGTCTCCTAAATATCCTTTATGGATCATTTTATTAATTGTCTTTTTGTATAAATTTAGTTTATTTTCTGTATTTTGACTGCTACTATGAGTTAATATAGAGATAATGCTGCCTTCATGTGCTTTCTGAATGATCTCCACTGGCATTTGCTTGTATCTACAGCTGCTGGTTGCATTATGTATCATGTTACACATATACATACATATAGTTTTTACATATTTAACTTGTAAGACATTATTTCAAAAACTTTATATAAAAAAAAAAATAAACTCCTCCCACTCATCATTAGCACAGCCTAGACTCACTTCCTATGAGGTATTTCTTCACTCTTGTTGCGCAGAAGTTCTCGTCCATTGTGGGGCAGCATTTCGACAGCTGCAGTAGTCTTTCTATGCTTCCTTCACTGGACTAAACAGATAAGACACAGGCTCTACACTGCCCTCTGGTGGAAAAGAGAGTTGGTTCTTTACATTCAAGAGAAGCTAAATTGCTTTTTATTTAGACTTTCCTGACATGTGACTAATCTGTACTGGCTAACAAGGACAGCGCGATTAACAGATAAGCTTGACTAGCAAATCCACCACATTGCCAGCTACAAAATACTTAAACGCAAAGAACTGAAAACAACTTCACAAGTAGGGAAAGGCACAGGAAGGAAGCAGAAGGCATCTGAAACCCTCCTGCCTGAAAAAGCGGGCGTCTTACTTGAGTTCTGTGTGTAGGCCGCTGGAGCGGCACCGTTGACGTGCGGCTGCTGCAGGGGGAACTGGGCCGAAACGGACGGGGCGCGGCGATACGTCCCTGTGGCCGAAACCATGGAGACGGATGAGGTGGTGGAGTTGTGGCGGGATATCTGCCTTGATATTGTCCCAAACTGAGACATGGGGGCCGGACCGAGCCCTGGGCCTGGAGCCACCGCTGCCAGAGCAAAGACACAGGTATAGAGAAAGAGGGAGAGAGAGAGAGAGAGAGGGGGAGAAAGAGAGAGAGAGAGAAACCCAGAAAGGAAAAGTCAGTTACACCCTTAAAACAGAAAGGTAGAAAAGCTTCCCCCAATATCCTGCAGACTTTAGTCCCAAGGATTTGTTTGAGGCATTCCGAAAGTTTCCTGACCATCAGAGCTGAACATGGAAAGGGAAATTAAGACAGAGGAGACAGTCATTACAACAAGAGACAAAAAGATTGCACCATTATCACAGAAACCCAGATTCAGATCTACAGAGGTATTAATAGCAATGCTAATATTATTCCCAACCAGTTCTGTTCTGCTGGTCAACAAGCAAGAAGGAACAGAACTGCAGTATAAATGTTCCACAGTATTAAGAATAAAAAAGTCATTGTTTAAGCAAGAAATAGTGTTTAAAGGGACCGGTCATCTAAGGCTAATCGTGAATGACATGAACATGGCTAATGAACACTGGAAGTCAATAGTCACCCAGAAGCTTTCTATAAATACATCCTCAAAACGTCTCCCAACCACTCAAACATAGGTCTTCATTAATGCTCCACAGATTGGTTGATGTAGTTCAGGACACATTCTGAACAAAACTTTACCGTGTAAATGCAACAGGTAGCCATTTCAGACAACAGGGTGTTGCGCCCAAATCAGGCTCCCATTCGTGTGCATGCACGTCACGCAGGCATACAGACAACACAAATACATTCGCAATCTCTGTGGTTTCTTTTTGTAACTATGGTAATAAAAACTGTGAAAGAGTATGACGTGCATACACACGAAGGGGAGCCGGATTCTGTGGGGGAGTCTGATTTTGGCTTTACACTCACTGTCTGAAGTGCGTGTCTGCTGTGTTCAGCTACAAGGTGAAGTTTTGCTCATTTTTTAGTTCACAGTAAGTCATACTGTGTCTTAAACCACATCAGCCAAGTCAGCATAACCCTAATGAAGACCTGGATGCAGTCTGAGCAGGTTTTGAGCTGAGTTTTAGGGATGTATTTACAGGAACGATTTGGGTGACTATGGCTTCCCAGTGTCTGTTAGCAACGTTAGCTTCATAGCTCCAGTTTTAAACAAAAGAAGCAAAATTAGGACACCAAACATGTCTTGGCTGATCTACGACATCTGGATCAGTGGGCAGTTGTGTAAATCACTTTTCACTCCTTTAATAAAAAAGTTTTTACCCTACAGTATTTTTACTGAGCCAAGCATTTAGCGATGGCCAAAAGAGCATTAAAAACCTAATAACTCAAACAGAAAAAGAAGAAGAAGCAAAACTGTATTTGATATTAGGCCTTAACATTAGCATTTCCTCACTGTTAGCCACATTAGCACTGTTGGCTTGAACTGTCCCTTTAAGCACATACAAATAAACTTCACAGTCCAACAGGAAAGAGATCCAAAGGAAGCAGTTGAGCTGCAGCCCACGATGACTAAACATTAGCTCTGGCTCGGCCTTCTGCAGGGTCTGTCCGGTTCATGAGAGACTGAGTCACACGGGCGTGTCCCCAGAGGCGCTCGCACATAGCTCAATGTGAAGTGGAACACACCCTGGTGAAAAATAACACGCATTGTTCGGCTGCGCTGAAAGGAACTTCATACGCTGTAGGAGATTCTGCAGAGAGATCGTAAATATTTAGAACAGTCGCCATATCTTATCATGACGGACGGATTAATGAAGTAAAAATAAACCACTTCGACTATTCGATCATTTGAGAGGACTGTGAAATACTGACCCCTCCCCCACCCCCCACCATCAGTCAATTCAAAGCCATGTATCAATGCTAATATTTCAATGCTTTAGCTACAGAAAGTATTTGGACACTTTAAAGAACCCGTATCGTACATTTTTCTTACTTTTCTTCTCTGGGGTCCACTTATGACATGCGTGGTTCGGTCATAATTCACTTTTCCCTGACCATTTTCCATCCTCCATCACCTGTTCCTTTAATATATGAGCTCTGTTCTGATTGGCTGCGCTGTGTACAATAGTACCTCCTGGATGAAACACTCCACATAACTTCAGTGTGAATGGGCGGAACTAAACTGCTGTAGGATGAATTGGTGGATATATGTGAATGTGTCGTTTTTTGTGACATCACAAAAATTCAAAACAGGCTGAAACTTTTCAAACCTTTAACACTGTTTAGAAATCACACTGTCATAATAAAGGTACCAAGGTACAAACAACGTAAATGTACCCTTAAAGGTAAAACAGTAGTCTTAAAGTTCAACTGTGTGCCTTAAGTGACACTTTAAAGGGCTCATATCCTACATTTTTCTTGTACTCTATTTTTTTCCTCTCCTGAATTTTTTTAAGGTACACTATATCTACTATAACTATATAAGTTCCCTGGGAAAAGGTGCATATTTGTACCCTTTCATATACTAATGTTTTAAAATAGAAAAATAAAATAAAAGGCCTGGAATTAAACTTTTCGCGTGGCGAAAGCCTGAAGAACTCCAACCAGACTGTACTAAAGGTACTGAGTATCTGCTTAAACCATAACAGAAAGCCACCAGCCAAAGTTTGAAACAACACTCTGCCAAAAAGTAAATGACAGTCCTGGAATGGACTGTTCAAAATAAATGCCACTTGGTTTGATGTTCTGTTTCCAATCAAAATGAACTGAATACATTTTGAAGTGTGGCACAAGAAGTCTATGGTTCAAATGTGCGTATGATGAATCGGACGCTCTCATGAGGAAATAAATATTGGTGTATGCCTTTGTTTATGCTGTTGCTCTGAGAAAGAATACACGGTCTGTTCTGATTATAAACTGCCTGGGGTTTGTGTCTGCGTACACTATAGTGTATATAGTGACAGCAGCAGAGATATATTTTCTTTGGCGGGGCGTTTCCTGTTTGCAGGGCTAGATAACAGAGATGCTGCTCACACTTGCCTATACCACAGAGGAAGAGCCAGGTAAACAAACAAGCAGACAGACAAATAAACAAACAATCACACAAGCGCTGGACAGTATTTGGGAGTGTGAACCTTTGGGTTAAAAGGAAATCAATTAGATTCACAATTCAATTCACTTTTCTAATTCAATTCAACAGCTATTTTTGTAAGAACGATTCACTTCAATACACTAAAGAGCCCAATCTAAGTCACTGAATTATGGATCTGCGTTCTGTGACGTTGACTGAAGTGTTCGACGTCATCATGTTGGATCTAGGAGGGTACAGCTGCAAGCGTATAGAACGAGCTACTGAGGGGGCACTTCAGCTCATTTCCATTGATGCCGACTCCAAAATCTCCACATTTAGACATTAATTGTGTATTACTTACTTTGGAAGACATTCTTCATAGTTTGCCTAACACATTTGATTTTTATTTATTATTTTTTGGAATTTTTCCCTTTTCTTTAATGTCATAACATGCATTTTGCTACGAATTTTGGTCAACACCACAAGCAAAGTCTACAGAAGCCAGCATCTCAAGTGGCCTATCTGGAAGTTTGCAGTAAAATCTGCACTAATTTCCTTACAGCCTAGACAAAAGGCAGAATTAGAGCCCTACTGCCCGGTGGACTTCCTCGGTAATGGATAATGGAGATGTAGTCTGGGCATGTGATTCAATCTGCCGATTCAATTCAGCGATTTAAGAAATATTACAGTGTATTAAACATCAAAACTATCAGCTGATCAGAACGATCTGGCCATGAAACACCTCTAACAAATGTGTCATGCCCACATACTGCTGATTACTTATCTACGTGCTATAATGCGGGATGAGTCGTGGAGTAGATGGAAAAAAAAAGGTCTGTATTTCCTCAGTTTTCTGATCTTTCATTAAATCTTTCTGATCTCTCGGTAATGATTGCTGTGTCGCCTCCTCTGTGTATGAGGAGAGGGCGCCGTTTAGCCGCTGTGGTCCTCAGTTCATGTTTTCAAGTTTTGAGCTCAAGTTCAGTGCAGCCTGTACGTCGTGTGAAGAATGAAGGAGGCGACGCTGCAGGGAACCCAAACAAAGCTTCTCATTGGAAAAATAAAAACCTTTGTTTGGATTCACTGCAGCGTCGCCTCCTTCATTCTTCACGGTCTTCTCTACAGTCTCCTGCTATCTGAGAGAAATCAGAGAGAACATGCTGGGTTAAAGCACAAAAAATAAAAAAAAATAAAAAACAAAACAAAAAAAATTAAATGAAAAACAAAATAAAATAAAAATTAAAAATTCTCTGACCAGTGCTGTTGACCACTGCATATGTATCAGCATGTAATTATTAGCTATCTACACTACAGAGTAATCACACATGGTTAGTGTGTCTACTAAAATTAAATTAAAACCAGAACATCACTGCTGTTGGAAGAAAACCTCGTAGTTTTTGACATCATTTGAAAATGACTGTTGCCCTTTATATTTTGTGTAAATTTCATGATGAATGGACCAAAAGAAATGACCCAAAATGACTCGGAAAAAAGTCTGTAAATAAAATTAAAGTAGGTTTTTTTCCTTCTACCGTAAAGTTATCATTTTGGAGACACGAGGTTTCTTCCGACAACTCACTGCTCAACTAACAGCTAACTGCTCACTGGCTTATCTGACTAGCAGTGCTTGACCACTGCATTTCGTCTGTCACTTATGTTTGGGTTAGCTCGTGAACGCCACCGGACGCGCCTCACACACTGTGGAGCTGAAGTCCAAGTAATTTGTCTACATATCACATCAAAGCTATTATTCAATTGATTAACAGATTTAAAGCCATTTAAAATGCAAACAAATCAATATGATTTTGAGTTGTTTCTCAATTAATGCAGCTGCATCAGGTGGAATCATAAACAGTGCATTGAGAATCTCCATACAACCCACCACCTTCACTCGCACACACAAAATGACAGCAAACTACTACAGAATTTTGCATATTCACAATTATGATTAATGGAAATTAAGAAATAGAGCCCCATAAAGCCCCTTGAGCACAAAACCATCACCTGCTGCAATGAGAAAACACATCTGCACCACATACAGGAACATGCGACCACGTGAGATCACCGCATTAGTGGTAAACAAACAGCAGTTTCCAGCTGGTGACACAGGGGGGTCCACAATAACAAAAACAGTGGAAGCGTCAGGCAGTATCTGAACACATCAGCTAGGAGGAGATGGCTGCCTTTCGTCTTCAGAGCCACTTCACTTCTTTCTGGAATGCTGTTGAGCACATTTTCGACAGCTCTTAGTGGGAAACGAGAGCATTCTTCAAGAAGAATAGCCCCACAGTTGGCACAAAGCAACGTGGGCTGCCTGTTTCCTCTGGCATTCTCCAAAGAAAAGCCCATCAAAATGTAGGAGCTTATACAACAGTTAGTTCTGCTCAACTCGATCTGGATGAAAAAGCACTGAACTTTTGTTGTTATATCTAAAAGCACACCCCACCCCCCTCCACCCACCCCCAAACTACAGCTTAACAAATTCATATTGTCATTCTTTAGTGTTCTCTCATTACAGTACCTCATCATGTAATATGGAAATACATCATATGACCACATTAGGAATCCCTGTGGTGTCAACCAATCCTGACTGCTAACCTAACCACTGGGCTATAGCCTAGTAAGTACAGCCAAGCTAATGTTAGTGTAACTCTTCCCTTGGCTGTCAATTCTGTCTTCATTAAGCACAAAACTGACACCAGCGAGACGTTTCTACCCTTTTTGCTAGAGAAAACAAGGCAACGTGAGTTAAGGTATCTGGCCTCCTTGATAGTTGCAGCTTTAGCTTGTTGTCATCTACATCTCACGAATCTTTTTTGTTGTTTTGAGTATTCTGTTCTCTCCACTGCAGTGACTATTTAAAGACAGTTTTTATAGTTTAACACCTTCTGTAAGATCCTAACAGTATGTTAGCTGTCTGACGTCTGAATTCAACGGCTAATGAAAAACAAAAAAACCATCTCAAAACAGCCTGCCCTCAAAAATCCCCCAATAGAGTCTGGCAGCAGACGTGCACTCTCAGCCCCAGTGACGTCACATGCACATGCACTCTCTGCCACAATGGCAGAAGCCGCTCAACGGCACGGTATCTTTTGGCTGCTGCTGCTTAGTGATATCATCACTTAATCCATTTTTTATCCGTAACACGGCTAGAAAGTTACATTTAATGCAGCTCCCTATTGAAAAAAATCATAGAACCTATTAAAAGTGTCTGCTGGTTCCTGGTGGCTTTCAGTAGACGCTAATGGTATTCTGTGTTTTCCTGATGGGTTGATATCACAGTGTAAAGGATTCTGATCGTTTAATCAGGTGTGACTGATTCCACATACATTTGATCGTTTCCTAATGACCTCTAACAGCAACCATCAAGCCAATTCCCGTTAGGAAGCAAAACCATCAGGTTTTACTCCTAACGGCCCTGCAAACAGTTACGTTGTGACAACCTACTGTTTTGATGCCCACAGCATCGTCTGCTTGGTGCTTTTCTACATTGTCACAACATTGAAATGTAATTCCTTAGAAAGTTGTGACAACGTTGTCTGACTTTCTAGGAGGTTGTGACGACGTTGACGAGATAGCCAAAGTAATCGGTACTAGGTTGACTGTACGTTGTCACAACCTCCTAGAATCCTTAATAAGTTCTATTTTAATCAATATTAGTGTTTGATAACCGGTTCTGATTGTCTTCAGCCTGGCTTTCGTGAGTTTCAGTAGCCTTTTTTGTTTTTTCTGCGAATAAACCCGACATTATGTCTGATCGTCGTGGTAGGCTTTATTTTGAAAGTTTCCATATTTAATTACCTTATTTTTAGTACGACAACGTTAATATACATTCAGTGTAGCTCTTCTCGCCCAGCAGTACGTGTTTCTCTGTTTTTCGTCATAAAACCGACAAAAACTCTGTCGTGGCAGAGCGGCACTGACGTCATTAACAGGCTGGCGGTGCATGTCAGGCTGAGAGTGCATGTCTGCAGCCAGACCCTTCTCCACAAATCCACCCAAAGCAGGCATCGTTTTTAGAAACTCCTCCCCCCTTCAAGAAGCATCATCAGAGGGATTTTTTTCCTAGTTTTTACACTGCTGCATCACGATCAGATGAGATTAGGCATGTTTAGGTTGGAGCAGCCAATTTAGTTAAAACAGAGCTCATTATACTTTTACACTGAACTGGATTATGAATTTGATGACCCTGGATTTGTCCATGAGGAATCTCTAAATGGAAGCCCCATCATAAACTGTCAGGTTTGGCACGCAGCGAAACAAGCAGGTGTAACCTGACTGGTCAGGCTGGTGCTTTTATGACTATTCGTGCTCAACAATATCCATCTGTGAGGTTTGTCTTTTAATGCTGTTCCTCTTTCCTGAAGCAGTTTCCTCTGCCAGACACAGACTGTCATGGTCTTTGACACAATTTCCCTTGACACTATTAGTCAACACTGCAACTAAAATCTCATGCAGTAGTTTATTATTTTAGTTCCTCCCCCAGGATTTCTGAAGTATTTTAAGTTGTGATAGAGTTAATTTTTGTTTGGTATTTAAAGCTTTCTAAACTATTCTAAGCATTCTAATGTCTTTTAATAGATATTTCTAGTTTTTTGTCCCACTTGTAAGTCAGCCTTCACTGTGAGCTCATGGATAAATCCTTATCAGCTTTAAAGTGTCCTGTGCAAAGCAAATTCTCCTTCTGCAGTTACATGAACAGCAATGCTACAAAACTTCTAAAGCTGCCCCCTCAACCTAGTCTTCACGGCTACGTTCACATTACAGGGTTGTAAAGCGGCACAAATCCGGCTACATGATTCGAGCCCAATAAAAAAAAAAAATCAGGTTTGGGCCGGGTTCAGGCCGATTTCTCACATACAACATCAGACTTGGTTTGTTTTGTAATGAAAGTAATTTTTTTCCTCCCACGCTTTTTCTCTCTCTAGTACCATCGTCTGTAGCTGTGCTCAAAACAGCTCTGGAGTGTAAGGAGTGGGTGAACATACCCCTGAATGTCATCATGGATGATGAGGGATAGGTTAGGTTGGTGAAAGGTCATAGCAGATCTCTCTCTTTCTGTTAAGTGTGCCTTCTTTGTTGAGCATTTCTGCAGTAGCAGCAGTAGCGTGAGGAACTTTAGCTCAGCGGGGCCAACAGCTGATCAGGAAGGTGGATGCTGTTCTTGGAAAGGCACCATCAGCAAATCCACAAAACTGCCGATAATAAACACTGTTAGTGTATTACAGATGTTTACGGATTAAGGCCTCTTCCATATGTGCAGATGTGTTGTCATGCGGATAAGAATGGTCATCAGGGCTCCAGACTAATATCGTCCTGGGGACCCTTAAAATAGCGCACAAGATGATGTTTAAACTGTTTTGGGACACTTCAGGGGAGATTAATTTGGGTGTATTAACGCTTAATGCCAGTAAAACTAGTCAAAAAATCATGAATGTGCCAGCTGTTTATGCTTACATTAAAAAATGGCAATGTTTAGTCCCAAAACTGTTTTAAATTTGCTCAAAAGTTGCACTTTCCCATCAAATTTCCTGCAAAAATAATGCTAACTTCCATTAGCGTGTCAAAGGGAACTCCTATGTAACATTAACATCAAGCTAATTATGTTGATTAGTTAAGACTAATTGTGTACAGTGATTTGCCAATAATGCTCAAGCATTTAACCCTTTCAGACCCAACTTATGTTCAAGGGCACTATGAAGATCTTGCTCCATTCTATTTTAAACTCTATTCTAAAGGCAGCCTTATATAAATGATTACAAATTAAATATTAATAACTCCAGGTCTCATTATTGCAGAGGTGAAATGACCGATATGAGCTCCAAATGTGAACCTTCAAGGCAGGAAAACTGGAATTGAGCAGCGAGGTCTTGTAACATGAACGCAGCTCATGAAGCCTAGTGATTTATGCCAAGGCACAGACATGTAGACCACTGCGCAGTGTTATAAATATAGACAGAGGAAAAGCTGAGAGAGACCATCACCAGCACCACCACCAGACTGCACAGCTGTGGGAATCAACATTCACAGGTACCACCGTTTTTAAACCCCCAGACAAAAAACAGACTCATTTGCCTCCACCATGCAGATGGTGACGAAGGGGCTTCGGGGGGGCTCACCTACGGCTGTGCCCAACATGAGGGGCCCTGGGCCCCCGAACATTGGTGGAGGAGGAGGTGGAGGAGGAGGAGCAGACATGGGTGGGACTGCAAGCATACGTTACAACCACATTAGACGATTCAACACTAAGAGCTTGTTTACACTTAAACCACTTTATGCATCTCATATCTGGATAATATCTAGATTTATTTACATCTCATTTAAATATTGCCATATAAATGCATCATAGGCATTGATATAGCAATAAGGCCAAAAGTTTGTGGACACCTCTGCATCCAGCGTGTCTACTGAGATCAAGGTTATTAATAAGGAATTTATCCTCCTTTGCTGCAGTAACAGTTTCTGCTCTTTTGAGAAGGTTTTGAACTAAATGTTGGAACATTGCTGTGAGGATTTGATTGCATTCAGCCAAAAGAGCATTAGTGAGGTCAGGTACTGATGATGGATGATCAGTCCTGGATCACTACAACTCTTCACAAAGGTATTAGATGGAGCTCCATCACTCCAGAGAACACAGTTCCACTGCTGGGGGGCTTTATATCCCTCTAGCTTAGACCTGACATTGGGCATGGTGACCTTAGGCTCATGTGTGGCTCTCCCAGAGTACCCCATTGTATTGGCCAGTGCTTTTCTATAGAGGTTATATAAGCTGTGTATCTATCAGGATACTTCTGGACACAGTGTCTGAGATCTAAAAGGTGGCAAGAGCTGTTGTATGCAGCCCTTATTTTTCCACCAGTGATTCATTTAGTCAGGCCATTCCTCAATTTCAATACTGATGTAGCTCCGTTTGTAATGAGTAAAGATTAGAGGTGGTTTTCAATAGTGGACATGTTTATACTTGGCTCAGATGAGTCTCCAATGTCTCGTATCACTGCCTGAAGTGGTCTGAACAATCCGATAGCACTCTGTCTTTGGCTGCACCTACACTCAGCCTTTCACAATCAGAGAGCTATCCTATCAGTCCAAGGTGCATAAAGTGGCAAAGTGAAAACAGGCTCACAGACATGTGCACATACAGTCACGCTCCTCAATTAAGGCTGTAATAGAAAAAAGTTAAAACATTCAGATACATTACAACATCCACAGAGAATTGAGCTTAGGTACAATATAGAAATACAATTTTCATAAATATGTATACCGTATTTGTCCTTATGCTCATTTGTATATTATACTTTATCAGAACTGCATTAGACAAGTCAACGCACAGAAACATGCTATGATACTCATTTCTCACTCCAATTAAAAGAAAATGTATTAACATACATAACAGCACACAGAGAAGTGAGCATTACAGTTTACTAATACAGCGCTCATAAATATGAACAGACACACAAACAGGCAGGGGATCCCAGCAGTGCTGATGGAGGGAGTTGCCATGGTGACTGTGTGATGGAGAAGGGGGTTCCGTTTCATATACTGTAGCTCTTCTCAACAGGAGCCTGCAGAGGAGCCAACTCTCTCTCTCTCTCTCTCTCTCTCTCTCTCTCTCTGTATATGTCTATCTACCTTTCTGTTCATCTCTCTCTGTACCTATCAATCTTGTTAACGAACTATCTACCCATCTATGTCTGTCTGTTCATCAATTCATCTCTTTTGACCCATCTTCTACCTTCACATCCATTGATCTATCTGTATCCATCCATTCATCTCTCCATACATTATATATATATATATATATATATATATATATATATAGATATATATATATATATATATATATATGTTTTCTTTTTCCCCCATCTCTTCATCTGCCTATCTATCCATCCATTCATTCGTATATTGGTCTATTTATCTGTCAATGTCTCTGTCTGTCTGTCCATCCATCCATCCATCTATTCATCTATCTGTCCATCTGTGAATCTTCCATCCATCCATCAGTCATCCATCCAATCAATTTTTCCATCTATCCAACCATCTGTCCATCCATCCGTCCATCAATCATCCATCCATCCATCATCCATCCATCCATCTGTCATCCATCCGTCCATCAGTCATTCATCCGTCCATCAATCATCCATCCATCTATCCATCATCCATCTGTCCATCCATCCATCAGTCAGACATCCGTCCATTCATCCAATCAATTTTTCCATCTATCCATCCATCCGTCCAGTAATCATCCATCCATCTATCCATCATCCATCCATCTACCCATCATCCATCCATCCATCTTATCAATTTTTCTATCTATCCATCCATCCGTCCATCTCCCTTAACCTCCTTTTACTACCTCTCTCTGGTTCTACAGCTTTCTTTCTTCTGTTCCTCTTTCATTACTCTCAGTCTTCCTCAATCACTCTCTCTATTTCTCTGTCTACTCCCCAAACACACTCTGTTGTCCAACCACACTCACATTTTCTGTTCCCTCTAAATCTCTTTGTACATCCTTCTTTTTTCTGTCCATCCACCAGCTACAGTTAGACCACTCACTATTGTTTTCCTCTCTCTCCACCTGTCCTTGTGCCCTGTGCAGAGCAGCGCCCTACTTCTTACTAACCCCCCTCTCTCTCGGAGAAAACAGGCCATTCTGGCGGAGTTGAAAGTGAAGCGTAAAACACAGCACTGACTCTGCTCCACTTTAAAACACTCAGAGAAACCCAACAGCAGTAAAGTAGGATTATTTCTGTTGTCTCTGCCTTTCGGACTGAATGCTATGTTGAGTGTTTGCCTTTGCTGGAGGGAGACAGAAGGGTTAAAATAACTGCTGTAGAGAGTGGAGCACATTAGGGTCAATTAAAAACGAGCTCTGTTCTCACCTCAGAACACAAACACCCTCCAACTCTAATCTGATTGTGCCTATTTGGTCTGATGCCTAACTGGAGATGCTATTACCGCATGGCACATGGTGCTGTTTCTGTGTGTGATGGAGAAAGATTAGCTGGGAAGTGTTACTACAGTAATTCTCAATGCTGTATTATAGTTTCTGTGGACCTTTTTGTGCACTGGCCTTGAGCCGAATGACGATATTGGCATGAATCACTGATAAACTGCATCCATCACCACTGACAATCAAAGACGATTTAAATGCCTGAAAACGTGCCCAGAGGAAAGAAATGTTCTAAATGAGATCTCCTCTTGATCTCAGGTACTTCTCCTAGACACAGTTAAGTCCAAGACAGATCTACCTCAGATCAAGATGAGGTCTCATTCAGAATATTTCTTTCCTCTGGGGCGGCCTTTCACACACAGAATGCCTTGGAATGAGTACATGGTCAGTATTTGCGGATCAGTTTTGGAAAACAATACTATAGCCAATCATCAATGGCCATGAGGCAAAACAATGGCTGCCAGTGATGGCTAATCAAGTGTTATCTTATTATTATCATTATTATTACTGTATTTTTTAATTATATTATCTTTTCATTTACTAAAAAGAGAAAAAGGAAGCCATTAGATGAAACACCTGGAGATTTACATAACTGCTGATCTACGACTGGTTTTTGCCTTCCTAAGCAAATCAATGTGATGATATATGCAGCAGGGAGCTGATCCTACATCAGTAAAGGCTTAAAGGAACACTCCAGCATTTTTCAACCCTACCTCTGTCTGATCGATTACTACAGACAATAATTTCCCTGTACTTATAAAGGAACAGAAAACACTGTAGGGATGTTTGTAATGGAAGTCAATGGACAGGTGCTGAAGCTGATGCGACCAGCCACTGGACTCTACTGTAACTGTGCTTAATAGGTTATAGTTCAGGGAAACATGCTGAAATTACTGTCTGTATCGACTGTATACTAAAGATGTCGCATCCATAAAGGCCCTGGGCTCTGAAGGAGGACAGATGAAGCGAGAAGAGAGAGAGAGAGAGAGAGAGAGAGAGAGAGAGAAAACTCACCTGGTCCAGAGTTAGGGATGGAGGGGGTAGGCACGGCGATGGGAATGCCAATACTGCTGCCTCCGCTGTTCTCACGACTACCACTACCACCACTACTACCACTGCAGAGAGAGATAGAGAGAGAGACACAAAGAGAGAGGGAGAGAGAGAAAAAGAGAAACAAAGAGAGAGGGAGAGAGAGAGAGCAAGAGAGAGCAAGAGAGAGAGAGAGAGAGAGATCAAGAGAGAGAGAGAGGATAAAAAATGGATGGAGGTACAAAGAAAGATAAAACAGAAAGAGAAAACGAGAGAGAAATAAAAAAGACCAAAAAGAAAGAAAATAAAAAAAAAGAAAGACAAAGTGGAAGAAAGAGATAAAGGCAAAAACAGGGGAGAGAAAGAAAGAGAGAGAGAGAGAGAGAGAAAGAGAGAGAGAGAGAGAGAGGGAGAGAGAGACACTGTTACAGTGTTATATAAGACAGTGACCCATATTCACGCAGTCAGTGAGACGTTACTGTAATTCATATTCATACAGATCCACTCCGACACTCTCAGTACAGTTACACTCTATAGTGTCTCACTGACATCCACACAGTCCCCACTACTACAGCACAAACAGCTCAGACACAACCTCAATCCTCAACATCCACACCATCACGGCTGTGTGTTCATCTATCATCTAACCCTGCGGCTCTGCCGCTACAGAGGGGTCCCAGCAGGGGGTCCACACTCATCTGCAGAAACATACATTACACATAGAGGAAAAGCGACTGTGTGTGTTTGTGTAAGCACCCTTTAAAGTGGCTCTTCAAGGGTTCTTCAGCAGAGACAATGTTTATACAAAGAAGCATGACAACTCAGAGGAACATTTGAATGCATAAACGGTTCTTTGCATGGTTAAATGGATCTTTTCTATGATGGAAAAACTTACGTAGTACCTACACAGCTGGATGCCTTCCTCTAGTGAGATTTCACTCTATTTACCCCACGTTATATATATATGGCATTACACGTGCAGTGTACGCAAAATTCTGGATTACATATCTTATGTAATTTTGGATCACAGACTACATATTATGTTGTTTTCAGTAAGTGAAAGAATTAACAACCTCTGCAGCAAACGATTTAAAAAAATAATTTTCTGGAAACATTAATGTACAATTACTTCGTAAATTATTAACTTAAAAACAGAAAAATATTAACTGCGGCATTTCTAAAGATCTCCTACGATTTCTTAAACAGCACAACGTCTGAAATATATACTACAGATACTATCGTGTCAGAGCTTCCCAGAATTCGTAGCAGTTTAGTCGGGTTTCTTACTCCTTAAGATTCCAGGATATTTACATGTTAAGTCTTATTATTCAGTAATTACATGGACTACAGTGGAGACCGAGTTATTCTTAAAGTCAGCGTGAATGGAAAACTCACGTTCCTGCTGTACCTTGACGTCTTTCCAAGTGAAACTCGTGAGAGTGGTGGGAGGAAGAGCTGAAATATTGTATTATTAGTTAATATTATTTGTCCTCGCCCGCTGGTGCACCGTGACAATCAAAACTCAGACGTTTTAGACGTGGGGCAAACGTCATTTCATTTAGATGAAAGATTACAGGCAAAACAAGATACTCACACTTTAAAACTAAATCACTAAAGGGGCCATTTAAAAAGCTCATCAAATCTGCAGGCCAGAAAAAAAAAGTTTTATTTCATTTTTAATTAATGTTGTGCTGTGACCCGAACTGGCCGCTGTTTATTCAGAATTCACAAGAACTTCGTCAGTAAAATATAAGCACTTGTAGTAAACCTTGAAATATTACATGAATAATTGAAATGTTCAAGTCTTTTAAACCTACCTATCTGCTTGAATTAGACACCTGACGTCCTTTCTTTGCTGCAAGTTCATTAAGACTTGGGCTCAATTTCTAAACTGCTGAGCTGACGTTACGCTTTTATATTGGCTGGACTACAGTTAGTGTGTTTGGTGATATGACTGGTGTGGAATTGCATAGAACTGTGTAGAACTGAGGTGTAACCGCTGTCCCACAGGTTTCCTGGGGTAGGAAAGTCCGAGCGCACATTACCTTGCAGTGCATGTTGGGGACTGTAGTGCAGCACATTGTGAAACAAGCTAATATTAATAGAAAATTAAAACACTTTTGCGGGCCGGAGAGGATTGTGTCGTGGCCCTGATCTGGCCCTCGGGCCTTGTGTTTGACACATGGGCTTTAAATGATATGATGAATTGTGCCTAATATGTTCAGGAACAACTAACAAGGTAATAAAGATCCAGAATTCTGGTTACTGGTCAGCTTAGTAGTCTCTGTAAAGACTAGCACAAGACCATAATTCATTTTAAATACTCGCAAATGAATAAATCTTCTCTAATTACCCTCTTCGAAGTGTGTGCGCTGTATTGGTGCCATCTTTGACGATACTAATAAAGCGGTACAACCAACATCCACTGATTTTACAAGTGATACATCAGTCGAGCAGGCAGAACACTCAGATCAGATCTGTTCTGAGATCCTGACTGCAGCTCTGAGTATCAAACTCCTCATCTACTCCTACACAGATTCAATTACTGATCAGACCACGCAGTTAAATTAAAGGGAAAAAAGGACCCACATTGGCAGTGACTGATGGTGCTGCTGTCAGTCTGACAGATTACTGAATCAGGTTTAGACGGAGCAGCCGAACGGCCGGCCGCAGGAGCTGAATAAGCACTACAGGCTTATTCTGATCTCTAATCATACGCGCAGGAATATGCTTTTATACTCAGTACGCATTATACATCATGGAGCCATTTATAGACTGCTTACCAAGCTGCCTGTGATGTGGAAGATAAATATACGTTAAACATAAATAGAAGGCTAACAATATTGCGGAAGAGGTCACACTGTGATATTTTAGGTTTCTGGGATAAATATTGAGATATTTAATTACCCAGATAAACTATTCGCAAATAGAGCTAATCATCAATCTCCGGTAAGGTTGCGTTTAGAGGCAGTGCTTCAAAATTCTGGTAAGGAGTGCATCATATGGACAAAATACCATATTGCAATTATATACTTCAATATCATTACCAATATGCTAAAAACTGCGTGTTAATAAAGCATTAGCACGATAAATTATTAACACCAGACATTTTTCTACATACTATTATCTTATTTTCTTAGTTTGAGCCATTTGAACCATCAAAATAAATATAACTCTTAGGGGGTTTGAGTGTTTTGTATTTTGTTGTCTATATTCCACTATTGTGAAATATTACAGTGTAATTTATATCAGATTTGTATCACATTTTATAATCAGACCAAAATGTCTGAACCAAATCTAACTGAATGTGAGATTTTATGATCATAATCCTTCATAACAACCTTTACAACAAATAAAATGCGGTGCTATCTATAACAACTTTGAGAAAGTGTGTGTTTGAATGAGACAACTGAGGAGAACACCTGTGCAGGTGTGTGTGTGTGTATATTACCTGTGTGTTCGGGGTCTCTGGTTCAGGGAGGCGGTGCGTCCTGGGCTGTGTTGACTACCCAGTCGAGCAGGGCTGGTCATGTAATCGGTGGGCACCGTGGGGGGCTTTACTGGCTCAAGAGTTTTATAGGGAGTGTTACGCCTGTGTGAGACAGTGACAGACAGAAAATAAAGAAATAAATAAACAAATAAACAAAAGTTAATAAGTAACATCACACAGACTATAGATAAGACAATAAAGCTGTTATCTATTCTGTTGGCTTTAACTAAAATGTGTTTGAGGTTACAGATCAGTAAGTGCCTTACGCTGTGATGACTTAACAGTGTAACTAAATGTGACTTTGTGGCTGCACACTAGACGCACCCGACTGTTCTCACAGTATGCTTATTTTCAGGTTTGGTACAATTTTCGGTTCTGAAGTCAAGATTAGATTTGATTTTCGATATTTTATGCGTAAAGTCTTAATTCTACAAAGCTTTCATTTTATACAGACTGGTTTGGCTCTGATAAATAAAAGTATAAATAAAAGTTCTTAAACAGAATTTTCCACACCTGCCATGTCTATGAAAATAACCCCCAAAATCACAACCCTTATGATTTAGGAACAACAAAAAAAGTGCTCAGTCAGCGCCACCTCTGCCAACTTTACTCTGATAGGATGCAGCCAGATGCTTAGTTTTGATCAGTGGTGGATCAAAATGAAAAAGATGATGGATATAAATGATGACGCTCAGAAAAGAGCGAGGACGGCATCAGTATCACAGTTTGACGGCTTTGTAGTGAACAACAGGTGTACAAAGGTGTACAATATTGAATTTTTCCTCAGGAACAGATTTAAAAGATTTTACATTTGGCATTTTCACTCAGACCTAAATGAGAATGTAATAAAAAGAGGGAGCGAGCATCATGTTCCAAATGTTAAAGTACTCTTCACAGAGATTAACCTTTAAGCTCATATCTGACACAATTTCAGAATAACAAAATTCAGAAATTGTACATGTTTCTGTGATAAGGTTCTAAATAATTAAGTAGGATCAGTTGCGAGCAGCTTTCTGTAATGTGTGAATAAAGGTGTCTCATATACACTACTGCACAAGTCTGTCTAAACCAAGTAGTGTGATTTGTACCACAAACTGTTAGATAAGTGATAAAATATTTGGCTCAGGAATGGAAGTGTCGCTCATTTCTCCTTATTAAAAAAGTGTCCTTATTTTTTTAGGTTATAGTTTTTTCTAATTAAATGATTCTGCAGCATTTCTGGGACAACATGTTATTAGCGGCTGTCGGTAAAGCTGAATTGATAATATAAATAGCACAGAGCTTCAGCAGACGTGAGACTGTGCCTTCATAATGACTGCATCACTTAAAAACGGAGACATACATGATGCTTCATAACGCTGGTTCAACATCATGATGTCTGTCAGCTATAGACGACGGATGACGGCATCTCCTATCAGCCCAACCCTACTAATGATCCCAGGTATGTGCATATGGTGGATAAAACACGCATTTAAGCAAAGTCCTTGTAGGACAGTCTGTTGCCCACGTCTCTGGGCAGTTATTTCCACTCATGCAAGACCAAGCTCCAATCTTTTTGAAAGGGGAGAGACACACAATTTCCAGACTAGAATCCACATTTATGTGTCAAAATCACTGATAAATAACACACAAAAAAGCATCTGACAAGCGATTTAGAAATCACTGAAGAAAATACTCTTTTTGCATTTTATCATTTTTGTTTAGATTAGTATTTATTCTGCCTAACTTAAGGTTACAGTTTATTATTTTATTCAGACATGGGCTCTGTGCCCTTGTATCATTCTGTTGGTGATTAGAAATGCAACCTACATTTATTTTGTTTAAAAATAGCCACTGAGACATTAAATCCATATTACTGGCCAAATTAGGTACATAAAACGAATATGCAGTGGAACAAAGTCAGTGTCAATTAATACACGTATCGCCAGGGTAATATATCACTGTTAAGGCTACTCTTTTAATTGATCAGATATTAAAATCCTTAATTATAGCAAATGTGCCATGGGTACGCAAACCCAGCGGGTGCATTTAGCATCTCCTGCTGTGGTTGCAGCGCATGTGCATATCTCCACAATGAGGGACGACTTTTCCTGCATTCAGTCTTGCCAGCAAGCCGGTTGGCTCTTTTTATTGAAGGGTGGGATTTTCCCAGTAAACAGACACCAAGCTGAGCGTTACGAGCTTTCCCATTCATTTCTGAACCGGTAAACTGTCTCCTCCTCAGTTATAATGTCTCTAATTTAGGTGTTATTAATAATCTGAGACTTTTCTAATCTATTTGAACAGGTCAAGAAACTGCTGTCAAGAAATAACTGAGTATTTTGATATTCTGACCCACAACCACTGCTTACCCCAGAGTGCCACGTCCTGCCATGGGTGGGCTGGGTGGCTTCTGTGTTGGTGGATTGGTCCTCGATAGTGTTCCTCCTCTGACTGGTTGATTGTTCCCGTGTTGCTGATGAAACAACGGTAAAGCAGAAGGTGTAAGCGATCAATCAGAGGCTTGACCACAAATTACAGACAAGAACAGGAACAGGACAATGAAGCTCACTGTGGCTTATGAAGGGCTTCCCAGACCTCTTTCAGTCATGTTAATGTCCCCTTTAGGTATATATGTTGCATTAATTGACAGTTTGGAGAAAAATCTAATTTACAGAGTTTACCCTCTTGACCCAAATGCTGTCATTCAGCCAAGACATGTTTGGCGTCTGAAATGTGCTTCTTTAGTTTTGCAGTAAAGCTACGAGGCTAATGTAGCTTACAAGTAATGGAGGCTTATACCCCATTGAATAACGACATTCAAACTGCTTCATTAAATCATCACAAATCTGTTCTTTTTTGAAGATAACAGTTTCATTCAGTGTCAGAAACCATACGCAAGTCTATATGAGATCACTTAACAGCACAACACAGTTTGAGGCAAATGTATGATGATTTAGACAGGCAGCTTGATGTCACTAAGCCTAAAGAAGCAAACTTCAGACAACAACCACATCTGCTACTACACTGACTAGATTTGGGGTAGAGGGAAGCTGCAAATATGACTTTTCACTGTATTATTGCTCGAAGGTCCACCAAGGACACGATGCTGCATCCTCTAAAGAGAACACACATCTGTACATTTTAATGCAGAATTACTGCTGATTTGCTGAATTTCAATTTTTTTTTTGGGGGGGGGTGCAGCCAGTTAATAAAATGCAGCAAATTAATAAAAAATATGCACTAAAATGGGCAGAAAATGCCACATTTAATTGTGCTCTCTGTACTTTTGCATACAACTCTTGAGCCTCAAAGACAACGGAATAAATGTTTATTCAGTGAATCAGATCAAGAGTACTGATTCTGAATCAGGGCATCTCTTCCCGGTGCAGCTGGGTTCATTAGGACAGAACGGACAGACGAAAGTGATTCAAAACCGGCACTGTCATTCAGCAGTGTTTGATAAATATGGGCCACTGTTCACAGGCCAGCCTCGGCTGTATGAAAGGAATCATTTAGTCTGGGAAACCCACACAGCCCACAGAGGGTCATTTAACTATGTGTGGGGAGCTATTTTGTGTTAAGACACAGAGCTACACTTTATATGAAGCTTTAGGGGTGGGCGATACGGCTTAAAATAACCACTGGAGCTTCCCAGTTTTTGACAGCATTTATCAGGCTGTTCATAACAAGGACAGGAGTGTGAGACAGAACAATATGGATGGAGTATCAGGATCCCTACTGCTACTGCAAGTATCAGTAGGACTGTCCTGACCGACAGGGTTAAACTTGGCCAATATTGTGTTAGATTTGGAGTTGATATGATTCAAATTACGATTATGAACAATGCTACAGGATATGGCTTAATATGATGCAAGTCTATCACATTGCAATAGTTTGGTTATATCGCCCAGCCCTATATTGTGGGCAAAGTGACAACAGTTCAGTTAAACTGACCATTGGGCTGAAGCTGGAGCTACAGAGGAAACACGTTCAGGGCAGCGTGGGAGTGGACAACTGATAAACTACAGCAGGACGGGTCATGTGACAAACTGTACTTACCTTGGCTTTTAGCCACTAATGTAGGCATACAAGAAAAAAGAGAAAAAGAGGTAGAGAGAGGTAGAAAAAGAGAGAGAGAGAGAGAGTCCAGTCAAAAATTGCAGTCTTATAGCAAGACCCACTGATACTGTTTCAACCCAAAGCTCAATATTCTGTACAGAAAGAGAGGTCAGTTCCAGTGCTGGATAGCAGGGGCACTGTAGTGGCCGGCGAGCTTAACTGTACTTCATTATCATTATCGTCATAAGAGTTTCTGCAGTGAATACTTTAAAGGCTGCAACTGAAGAACAGATACACAAAAGACCTACACACATATAACTAGCCTGTAAAAACACTTCAAATGCGACGTCTCAGTGTAAGAGTGGGCGATATGGCAAAAATATAATACTTAAATAGTTAAATAAATGAATAAATACACATAAAAATACGTTTTAAATGCAGCACTACAGTAAATCCAGTTAAAAAGGATGAACTATACCCTCTTTTTAATGCATCATGCAGACGTTCAGTATTCGTTTATGTAGTGACGATATACATAATATACTCACAAAAGCATATTGTGACATAATTTAACACGATAACAATAAAACTCAATCATATTGCACACCTCACTATAAAGAATGAAGGGCAACTGTCAATGCCACAACAAATCTGCATCTTTGTAAGGAGCTTTTTAAGGAATTCAATATATATTTTACTCGATTTTTCTTATTTTAATTTTGCACTTTGCACAATAGTTGTGGAATGTTTTCTTTTCTTAAATCAGGGGTTAGTCAGATTTCTGTTCACACAGCACAAACCTTGTTGCACATCCAGTCAGAGACGCACTGTTTTAACCATAATTTAATGCATCTCATTTAGCCATCGCAATAAACAACAACTTCACAGAACATCACATTTCAGGTCTATATTTTGCAGCCCTAGTTTATGATTAATGTTGATATTCAAGCATGTATAATGGAGAGTTAATGAAAGGACACTCAGTTAATCACAGGAAAGAAAAAAGCAAGAGATAATCAACACATCATTAATAAACAAATCCATTTTCCCTAACAAAATTAATCTTTTACACATTTGGTGTCCGGCACAAGCCACATAGAGAAATGATGAATGTACAGCAAAAGGTTTTTCAAACGGCACCACAAACCCACACTACATAAGGTCACAGCGTTCTGGCATCTGTCAAGAACGGATCTAGTCACTGATTTCAATTATGGACTCAAACAGCAGCGCAAAGCAATGTGCGAAAATGATGACTGATGCAAAAGAGTTATCTTTTAACAGAACGCCAAAAACTTGAGATTCAAATGTTAATCTTCGCCTACAAACACGTCTACAAAACAACAATGTGCATCAATCTGCCTCTTTCAACTTGATGTCGTCGCTTCTTCTCCTAAGGGCCATTCGGTTACCTCATTAGCTCAAAAGTGCTAACAATGCCTTGGAGGGGTGAGGGATTGAGTCAATGTGTCAACATCAGCAATGGATATTTCACAAACTGAAATGAGGCCAACAATAAGTCTATGTGTTGATTTATTTCAATGGCGTAAGTTTCTCCCAATTATCTGAAGTTACCAAGTTCCCGGGTAGAGATTTTGAAAACTGACACCTGGAATGAACCATGTGCATCTCTCCTTGGGCGCATTCCATCAATTCTTCCATATTTCTGGATACTTAAACAGTGAAGGTGTAAACAAAGTCAGAGTGGTTTGATGTGGTTTTGAACAACGTAGAAAAACTTACAAAGCAAGAATTCACTGGTGGTGGTGGAAACCAGACAACAGCACTGTTTAATGTCTCTAAAGGCTCCAATATAAAAAAGATTACAAATACACTGTCTCACATAATTTTAAAATACATTCATGGTGAAGGGATATATCCAGGGTGTTGTTAGGCTATATATATATATGCAACATGATTTTAGTCGGCAGTGAACCTCCAACAGTTCAGAGCGTTCGTCGTTGCTTCCACAACGCTGGATGATCTCCGAAATCACACTGAAAGAGCTGTGAGTGCAGCGACACCCGACATGCTCAATCGAGTATGGGATGAATTTGACTATGGCGTTGATGTCTGTACAGCTGGAGGAGATTCATATTCAGCACTTGTAAAATTACATAATAAACTTCTGCTCATTTAAACCATTTACAGTTTACTGCACTGTTCTGTAATGATTTACAAGAAAATCATTTTGAATTTGGATGAATTTAATAAATAAATAAATAAATAAATACATAAATATATAAATAAAAAAAAACAAAAAAACACTTTTCTAATTTAGCACTATTTTACCATCATCAACATTACTTATATAAACTCAGAAGACGTGGAGGTTCACTGGTGGTTTTGGACAGTAAATAAAATGGCTATATCTGTGCTGTAGACATTGTGACCCCTGGTTCCCATCTTCACCACTGTAAAGAAATCTTTAAGATTTAGAAATTTAGAGTTAAGAAATTTGTCTAATCTGAACAGCGTCACATCAAATCACTCTGAAGAACTGCAGAAAGTTTGACAAATCGGTGGAATTTCCTCTTAATTCCCCTGGTCCTCAGCAGAACTACACATTTGCACATACAGAAAGTGAAACGTGGTTTTGGTTTGTCTGTCTGTCCACAAAGGACAATGTTATTCCCGGAATATGAGAATGATCATGTTTCCTTGCAGGTTTACAACAGCAACCAGTCAGTGGAGACAAGACGTCAGAGCTTTTACAACGAAGACAACATTTTAAACACTGTAAATGTTGATAGGATGGACAAAGTGTAACATATGATATACACATTTACACACAATATAGTGCTTTGGGTCTAAGTGTCACCTTAGAGCCTCAGGCAAAGAACAAGAGAACCGCTGTCAAGCTGCAGTCCTGCTGTACAAACACAGTTCTGCAAGCAGCAGAAGACTCCAGGGTAAAAACTGCCGCTTCCTGACACTCAATCTCTGTGAGTCCGCTGAAATGCCACTGGCTGTTGTGATGCTAACCTGTGGTTCAGGGCTTAGATTCTTTCTTCATGCCAACCTCTTCTCCTCCGATGACTAATCTTTCGTTTCAGGAATGCTCAGAAGGAATTCTAAGGTAAGCTGAAACATTGCTACAGGGACTAACCAAAACAAATAACAGCCTGCTCGTTCAAGGACAGCTTGTGTAGAGACTGTTCACTGCTGTCAAGCACAGAGTCAAGTGCTACATCAATAATACATGCTCCACTGTGAGCAATGAAGACACTGTAACAGAGGAAAACATCACACCGTTACTCATTTAAAAACATGTAAACTCTGCCACACGGCTCCACAGCGGTCCAAATATACTTATAACTGAATTATTCAATTAACAGACCTCATATTAATTTATATTTATCTTTATATTAATCAAAAAAGGAGTAGGGACTGCAGCATCCACCAACGCGGCTGCACTTTAAGCATGTATGCTGCCCAAAGCTGACTTGTTGAGATCTGCACTGAAGAAAAAGTGCAGGTCAACGTGACAAACAGTGCAAACCACACTAACGTTAGCCCGTTTAGCTGAGCGGCAGGGAGTCAGGGATGTTTCACAGTCACATCTCTAATAAAATTCAGCAGACTCTCAATCACCTCCCGCTGTCCAGTCCATTGAATCTGAAGCAGTTCACTGGTTTTCAAGGAAGCGGGTCTTTTGGGGCTGGCCTTAGCCTAACAAGGACACCAGTGCTTCTCTTTCTTCTCGAGAAGCCACCTGACTTGATCAGCTGCATAATACAACACCAGGTATGGGCACGAAACCAGCCAATACTGAAGCATCAACAAATGAAATAATTTCCAGCAGCGTCTGATAGTCAGAGGCACGAGTGTATGGACGCACATACGAAACAAATGACTTGAGAAATTTAAAAAGCTGAAATTGACTACATACTCAAATTTCCTGTTCCACCTTAAATGGTGCAGCAGTTACATTTAAAGGTGCCGGAATACATAAATAGAAAGAAATATGTTAAAGAAATATATACACATATGCGCGCACACACACACACACACACACACACATAAATATATATATATACATTGATATATCAATATTATAATATACATTTTTGGCCATACTGTCCACTAAAAGCCTCGCAGCTCCAGACACCAACTACTCTCAGCTAACAGACCACATCTAGAGTAAGGCAGAAACTTTTGCTTAACTTTTCCTTAAAATAGTCTTTTCGCTATTTCTCTGTTTTATTGTGGTTCAACTAGTCAAAGAGAAATGAAACTCATGGCTCTTCAACTCAAGTCTAACAAGGATCAGGAATTACAGCCCCCACCAAGGCTGTTGTGCAACGTTACTTAAGACAGAGGAGGAAGCTGAGCTCCATACACCTGGAAACAGAGGGGCTTAGGCAGGGCATTTGTCTCTGTGAGTCTAGAGGTTGTCTGTCCAAGAGACTCAAGATAAGCCGAAGCACTGATTCCCTGGCTCAGGTGCTTTTGGAGCAAAAATAGAACAAAAATGTTGGCTGGCTGGGCGTCTTTCAGAACCAGTTTGGAAAGCTCAGCACTATGGGAAACCTCCCTGTCACAGTTATGACAAATGAAGCACGAAACTGCAGTATAACCAGATTATAAATTTCTAAAATACTAGGCTGCAGTCTAGCGCTGCACGATGAATCATAATTTTATCATTTATCACAATATGAATTTCTATGATGAACACATCATTATGGGCTGCAACGACAGAACATATCAAATTACATTTCACATGCATTATGAGAGCTATCTAATTAGATTGGCGGGAATGTAGCATTAGGAGTCGGGGTCTAATATTAGAGCAGTGGTCTGTTCTCCTGAGCCAGACTCAGCTCCAGTCTCCCATATGCAGAGCGAGTGACTTAGCCACTCTGCTATAAAGCCAATTAAAAAGAAAAACAGATGTGTATTGCTCAAAAATACTCTACTCCTAAGCAGTAATGGTTACTGTGACACCAAACTTGCATCAAAAACTGAGGTTTTTAAGGAATTTAAAAAATGTATTAATCAATTAAATTATTAAT